TGGGCTCGGGACTGTCAGATATCAGTCAATTCCTGGTAAGAATTAAAGAGAAGTATATAGTCAAGCAAAAGAATCTGATACTATTTCAAAAAGGGGGAAATATGTAAATGGTGCTCTTAATCCGATTCGGTTCGGAATTGTAGAGGCCAGTATTATTCATAGAAGCATTTACTTACCTACACTCTTCACGTACTTTTGTCAAATTTTCGAGAAACCCCGAGGCTATCATGCGATCTACATCAGAAATTCTGCTAAATGAGCCAAGGTTTTATACTACTAGTTCTGTTTTTTCATGCACACACTTCGTTTTCTGACACCAGCATCTCCACTTTGTTCGCTGTTCGTGGTGATAGCATCTGCGATTTAGAGCTCATATTTGGACTTTACAGTTAGCAGGAACATCTAACGAAAATATGGCTATACTTATTTAAATAGTTTTTATCTAGATGGCTGTAATTAACATGATGACAATACTGCTGTACCGAAGAATTGAAATCGCTGTAATTTTTTAATGAACGGATCCCAATCATACTTTCTGTTCATTAGTTCCTGGTAGACGCTTGTGGAACAATGATTAAACTGTATTCTATCGTCGATTTCGGATAAGAATGCTGTAACTGCAACACATTCTTATATTTTTTCAAATTTATACCGGTGTCTTAAACATCATATCCTTCCCAGGTACCTCAAAGTTCTCGTCCAAACTACGTCCTTTAGTGCCTTCTAACGATGGCTTACGACAATAAGTACTAAACATAATATCATACTTATCAGAGAGTGAACCCTTTAAACATGAAGTATCGTACGGTACTTGCCTTGCATTCCGCGATTCTTCATAGGTTTCATTCCTGTGCCTGTTTGGTTTCTTATGAGAACTCATTATAGCGATCGAAATTTAACGGAAAAGAAACTCCAAGTTACTGAAACAACAAAGATCAGATATTAAAATTCACCGGTTCCGCTTCTTCAATTATTGTCGACAATAAGATATCCAAAGTATTTTTCTCCAAATATCGTTAAGAACCAGTTGACAGTAAAATATCCAAAAGATCCTCTTCCAAATATTGTTTAGCAATAGTAAATGATAAGAAATCCAAAGGATCCTCCTCTAAATATTGTTTTGAACTGTAAAGTACCGTGCGAGACTTCATGTTTAAAGGGTTCACTCTCTAATAAGGATGATATTATGCTTGGTACTTATTGTATTAAGCCAATCGTTTTTGGACTTGGACTGGGCGGGACGCGTGTGAACCCACACCTTTCGGCTTCAGAGCGGACTGCAAGAGTAATATAATTACTTTACAGTTCAAAACAATATTACACCTTCGAGTTTCTAATCACCGCAACAGGTTCCGTTACTGGAAGAATAAGTGCTTCTAGTCAGTTACTGCTAGAGTATCAAATCCAAATATAGCTGTAGCCATATTAAGTATCAATTTTAAACAACATATGTATAATTCAGAAGGAAACAAAGAAACTTCAATATAAGTACAAGATATAGAAATAATAACAATATACAAATGATAAATCCTCAAAATGGGATTAAATAAAGTACCAAAATATTGAACAGAAGAGTTAGTCAGATCATAACACAAATATATATACATGGAGGGATTTTCCAAAAACAAAGCCTTCAAAATAGATTCTACAAAATACTTCATTAATATGTCAGCTAGACGTTATAATCATCTTAATTTGAATACTTTATTATGACTTCAATATTTTGAATCTGTTAAATACATAGCTGACATATATCTTTTAAATCCCGTGGCAATATCACCCTTGTTTATCGACTCACTGGGGTCGTATCCTGATGTTGAGAGGCTGTTTCTCATTATCAGAGGTTAGTGAGTACCGGCTCTTTCAGAAATACGGTTCAAATTTTACAGCGAAGGTCCTTAAACTAGGTGAATAAGAAACCCACCAGGTTGATGCTGTGTGTTTAAGTCCTTGAGTTAAGTGACACGAAAAAATTATTTTAGAACGAATTTCGAGCATTCAAAAGTCTAACAACCGTAACATAAAAACCATTAGCTGGCAAATAACTTGCCATTTCAAATAACTTAATAATTAACAACGGGGATACTGATCATGTAAGGTGTGGTATACACTGAAAGCTAGGATTACTCAGTCTTTCTGACGTATTAACTAAAATTAAAGTACAGTGAAACAGGAGGGTAAAGCGATTTAAGGAACTGCTGAAACGCTCAGCCCCAATGAACACAACAGCATTAAAGCTGCATCCACGGACATCCCGATCAAAGTTGGCCTGCCAACAATTGGAGAGATCATCATGACCATCAGACAAATCAAGAGCGGCAGAGCAACAGGACCAGGCAACATTTTAACAGAGAAAATGAATGTAGACGTAGAAGCAACTGCAGAAATATTACACATTCTCTTCAACAAGATTTCGAAGGAAGAACAAGTACAAGCAGACTGGAAAGAAGGATACCTGATCAGAATACCAAAGTAAGATGGTCTAAGCTAGTGTAAGGACTGCAAAGGCATTACCCTTCTCTCAGTACTAGGCAAAGTCCTCCATACGATATTGTCAAATAGAATGCCGGACTTAGTAGACGCCCAACTTCGAGATCAGCAGTCTGGACTACGTAAGGATCGATCATGTACCCACCAACTCGCAGCATTAGGGATCATTGTGGAACAATCAACTGAATGGAACTCACTACTCTACATCAACTTCATTGACTACGAGAAAGCATCTAAATGCGTAGACAGAATGACTATAAGGAGGCTTCTTCAACACTACGGCGTGCCTGAAAAGATAGTCTACCTCATACGGAATTCTTGTGATGGACTTAACTGCCAAATCGTGCACACAGGACATCTGACTGACTTCTTCGAGGTAAAGACAAGTGTCAGTCAAGGTTGCTTACTCTCAGCCTTTCTCTTTCCTCCAGTGTTTGACTGGAAGAACGGGATACAGTGGACAGCCAGGATGCGGCCGGACGATCTGGACTTAGCAGATGATCTGTCTCTTCTATCACACACGCAACAACAAATGCAGGAAAAGGCGGACTGTAGGATTTAACTTGTCCTACAGATGTAATTCTAGAACAGTAAACGCAATATTGGCGAGCACAGAGTCAATGGGAAAGTTATAGTCTGAACAAGATCAATTTTTGCTTCAAACTTTATCATCTGTTTCTAAACATAAAAACAATTAAACTAGTACAATAAATAAGGAAATTACAATTATCAAGTAAGACGGGCAAACATACCGACCAATATAGCGCGTCTTCGGAAATGAATAAAACTATGAGTCACATCAATATAATAAGATAATAACGTCCTTCCATTAGCAGGTCATTTACAACAAAGAAAGTTTACAGACACGTCAGATCAGATCACGTGGTGGGCGCTTAAACCACAATCTGATTGGTTAGTTATAACATAACCACAATTAGTTATGAAAATTACTAACACGGACAGTAAAGCAGGAGCCTCTGGAGCAGTAAGTTTCAACATACGCAAGGGAAGAAGCAAGACCCTCAGATACAGCACAACATGCATCAACCAAATCACACTGGACAGTCAGAATTCTCAACACAAAATGTCAAAACGATTCTACAGTATGGGCGGAAACTTGGAAAATTTCCAAAGCCATAATACAGAAGATACAAAAACTTATTAACAGTTGTATATATGCAAAAAACTTCGGATCTGTTGGTCAGACACCATCAGCAACAACCTACAATGGGAGAGTACAAACCAGATTCAAGTGGGGGAGGAAATCAGCAAGAAGCTCTGGAAGTGGAGTGCACACACATTGAGGAAAGTGCCCAACTACGTCAAAAGACAAGCTCTTATCTGTTAGCATCTGGGTCAAAGCGAAAGAGGATGTAAAGTGACACATTACGCTGAGAAAAGGAGACAGAGATGAGGAAAATGAACAACATTTGACAGAACTGGAAACGTATTTTTAAGACATATGCACGCCCCTACCTTGAAGTTCACAACGTTGGCGCACACTCTCGCTATAAAAGAAACATGAATCTCCTGATCGATTGTAGAGACGAGCAATGAAATAGGTAATAGGGTCGAAAAGTAAAACTTACGAGGATCGACTCCAGGATTTGGAATTATTCTGAGTTACAGAAGAATCAAAGGTGATCTGATTATGGCGTACAACATATTGAGCGTGCTAAGCCATTCCAATACGAGCATCTTACCGAAGCATCACCACGACTCCTCTCTAGGCAGTCCTTGCAGAATTAAGCACCAAATACCGAACAATTAGGTCCGTGCACACTTTTTATCATTAAGAGTCATTGCAACTTGAAATGCTTTCCCAACCGAGGTGGACAGCTTTAGGAAGAGACTTCATAAACACGTACTTGCATACGCACTATCATCTCCCTCGTGAACAAGCTGTGCCTGATATAGGTCTTTAGAACTGCTACTTGTTATTATTGCCATCTCCTCAGATCACTCAATTAATCTATCTCGCCTATTATCTCTGATTCCTCTGCCTTACTTACACTTTGACTTCTCCCACAATCTTCACTACCAATTAATAAACTAAATTATCCATATATTAGTTCTGAAATCCTCTTATTAGCATTAGAATTTTCTACTTAATATTCTCCACATTGCAACAAACTGATCCTCGGTCTGGTAATGTGATAGCTGCTGGTATCCAGAAACCCTACTGCCCTGAAACAAACGTCTCCATTCAAATTACAGGACATACCAACTCACTACCAACTGCCAACTGACTTGAATCAGACAATCGAGTGGCTAGACTCCCATTCATTGAACACTATCAAACACCTGGAAACGTACCTAAAAAGCAAGGATCGAGTACAAAGAAATCAACTGGCTTACAATAACGCGCGAAAAAAAATATTGGATATTGTAAAAGCTAGAATTTAGAGCGTTTTAATGCACCATTGGTCGTGAAACTTTGCGACCACATTATGAAAATGTCAACATTAGTTCAACAGTGCAAAGAAATCAATTGGTTTATAATAGCTGGTGAAAAAGTTATTGAATATTGGAGCTGGTTGTAACATCAAATCAGATCTATAAATGAGAATGAAGCTTTCTCAAAATCCATATTTTAATATCATGAAACATTATCCATTTTCTTCGTGGAGAAAACGTGGAAATGGTGATGACATACACCTGGTGATGGTAAAGCTTATTTCAGACTTGTTCACTATTTTTGTTTAGGATTCTACTTTGAACTCCAAAGTAATGTTGATAGATGGCTTAGTCACTGCAGCAAATCATTTAACTGTTCCGAAGAATCAAAAGTGTAGTCTCAGCCTAACTGGAGAGTACTTGTATCTGATTGTCAAGCCATTGAAAGATAAGAATTTTATCGTTAGACTAGACTGCAGAACAAAGAGTTCGATAACCTTCCGCATTACAGTGTCTAATGCTCGGAAGTTTTGCAAAGTTTCAAACTTATGTGTTTGTCTTCCTTTGTCTTTGCTGACTATTTCACCAGATGTTGAGGAACCGAAATGGGTAGTATTGCGTTTTGATCTTCGCAAAATCGTAAATGAATACTCTATCTATCAATATCACAGCTTAAGTCGCTTGCAAATATGCTGTAGTTTGTTATTGTATGCAGCATTTACGTCCAACAATGAATATTCCCCGCTGGTTTCGATAGAAAAAAATAAGGTTCATAAGAATTTAGTTCTTCCACTTCCTAAGGAGTTTCGACCTTTCCTGGGCCCAGAAAAGTTATCTGAGACCTTTGATTTAGTTTCTATACCTGAAAGTATAACTGATCAGTTTGAAGGTATGTTTCATTTTTTATTATTTGTATTTAAAAATCTCCTTTGATATTCTGTAAAATTGTGCTTAATTTGATATACTATATCAAGTTTTTCGGTGAGAAATGCTAGGGAAATAATCATTAATCATTGTTGTTTCTTGAAGAAACCGTTACCATCGATGTTCTGGATCGCCGTCACACTTTTGTTGCACCATTAGTTTACGGCATTAACGCTTGTATTTGAAATCGCTCATTTAGAATTTTTGGTACGCAAAACAGTCTAAATTTAACAACTTAGTCACGTTTACCTTGTTATCCTGGGTGGACATTTTCGATAGGTTAGTTCTACATATTTTGATAGAATTAATAGCCCTTCCTTTCGTGTTTTTAAATCGCCTTGAAGGATGTTAATAAGACTTCAAGTCTGAAAGTAAAATTACCTGACTTGGCACATAACAACTATTGACAGCAAGTGTGTAGTAATTCATTTTTTAATTGTAAGATACCAATTACATTGAAAATATTTAGATTCGGCAAGCATTGATGGCGAATTGTAGCTATGTACCGCGAACTAACTAAGTTAAATCCCTTGACAGCCAGAAGTTAGAAGACCAGTCGTGAGTGAAGTTAGAGGTATATTTGTTGTTGATCTCATGATATCGAAAGAATATCAGGATCCATACAAATGTTACAGGCGAGACTACCGAGGCAACGTGAGCAATGTCAGGATCATATGATCAGGAGGATACTGGTTTTTTGTACAGATAGACAAATAAGTACAGTAAAACTCACTGGTACGACTGATTGCAATGATAGATGTTTTAATTTCACTAATCGCATTCTCTTCACAAAAGTATTCTGGTACACATTTATGGAACTCAATAATAGTCCCTTGTCTTAAGCTTCAAAACATCTTCAAATTTTAACTACCTCTCAATTTTGATTTCATTCTTTGTTCAGAAAAACATACTGGAAGTATAGACTCCACTGAAAATATCAACTTATCGTCAAGTACTGAAAACAAGAACCCTGAGGTAGCATCACACTTAACAGAATCAAAAGTATTGGAAGATATAAATATACATGATAAAAGCATTGCTAAAGATCATCATAAGGTAAGAAAGTTCAAGAAATCAAATCATACTTTTAGTTTTCTATTTTCTTTTACTTTAAAACAATCTGATAACGACTATACAAAATTATTGTTACTATTAATCTTACCAAACTATAGTTGCATATTTGTTTTTTTTACTTTATCATAAACTATTTGTAATTATTTGACTTCAGCTTACTCAGAATCAAACAAAGGACATTTTTGTTTGTATGCATACCGAATTTATCTGTTTCTACCATTGGATTATTAATACTATAAATGCCATATTTCTAACCATTCTGTTGAAATGCTAATTATATCACTGACGACTAAACAGAAACCAAATTCAATGAGAAATATATTTTGCCATGTTACTTATTCTTGATTGATAATATAAACCATTATATAATGAATAAATGCTGCTGTTTTTATAAAAGGGATAATATATATATATATATATATATATATATATATATATATATATATATACGGTTTAATAAGTAAAGGTTAGGACAAATGTTGTTCTGTTTCATTAGAATCCGAAAACCCTCTTCGCTTTCACTTGATTTCGCCAAACTTATTAGCGTTGATATAACAAACTAACAGACATTTTAAATGACTGAACATAATGAGTGGCTTTTAGATATAAAACAGTGAAAATAAGACTGCTTACTCAAATTTATGACAATATTACCAACGATTGCTTGTTGTCGCTGCCTGCTCGAAAGTAGGAGCTCCCGTGGCCAAAGGAGTTGGAGGACGGAGATTTGCGGAGCTTCCTGGAGGAGTTTGAGGCCACGGTGAGGCTGGTGGGTGTAAAGGGGCCCGGGGCGGAGTTGGCGGTGCTGGGGACGCAGCGGGGAGGCGAGGCGAAGGCGGTATACGATAGCCTGGACGGTGTCGCCGGGAAGACGGCGTGGGAGACGGTCACCGGGCGGCTGATGATGGGGTTCGACAGCCTGGTGGACAGGGAGGAGGCGCCACAGAGGTTCCGGTTGGCGAGGCTGTCGGCTAATGTTGACCCGTTGGAGCTGGCTGTGGAGCTCACGATGTTGCTGCGCCGTACGTTGCAGAGTATGGATGGGGAGTCGGGGACACAGTTGTTGGCGTCGCAATTTATCGAGAGTGTGCCTGCCGCCGTGTCCCAGCAGCGGGAACTAGTAAACGCTACACGCTGGATAGATGCCGTAACCATTCCAGACCAGCGGGCAAGAACAATGACCGAAGTGGTAATCCGGCATATTGTAGCGTGTCACAGAATACGGAGGGTGATATTAACTGACCAGGGTCCCTGTTTTGAAAGACTAAGACGACAGCTTATTAAAAGGGGGGACGAGTGTGGTGTGAGCTACTTATTAGACTTTATTTTTTTATCGAAGATCAAATATCAATATTAATGTTTATAAGCAAAAGTTAATTTGTAAATGCAAAGTGATGCTTTTTTCATTTTAAACTATTCTAAGTACATTGATATTCTCATCTTCCTTATTCAATGTCTGAGGGCTATATATAAATTATTTAAATTCTTGTATAGGAAAATCATTTATTAAGTTTTTTGGGGTTGACAGTCAACGTTTTCAAGATTATCTGATATGACTTCAAATTATATATACTAATTTAATTATAAAGAACGTCTGTAATTAATTTACTAGGGGTCAAACTATGAATATGTAGAACAAGAGTGACGGAGTAAAGTTCTATAAACTAATAATTGATTCGTCTATCTGGTTAGTTAGAAACCTTCAACAGTTGTCTTAATTAGGAGCTCCTCCATGCGTCTATTGATAAAATTTATAATTCATCTAGTTGAGATTTTCCAGCATTTTATAAATTACCGTTGATGTACGTATTTATCTGCTGTCTTTTTTCTAATATATTCAAATAGTTGAAGATATCAGATGAAGATGAACGAAGTTGCAGAATAAGCGACGTTGTGCAGTTTGATAATACTAGTTTACCATGTACAAATTTACTTCATCAAACCATTGAGAATATGGCCAAAAACATATCTATGGACTTGGTTTATATCGCTTCATGCCCTTCATATTGCACAAGTCTAATCATCACTCAAAATGGTTGTGCAATTATTTTTCCTTGTGCAGCATACATTATTGTGATGGATGTCGGTAGTAGACGTCAATGCTTCCTAGAAGGTACGTTTTTACTGAGCATTTTTTTCTATTGATTCATTTTTCACTAATATTTACGTGTTTTAGTGTTAGTTCTTATGTTTATTGGGAATTCAAAATAGGCATTGATCAAAACCTTTTGTTACTGCCTATATTGTATGTGTCATCTGGAATATATCAACTGGTTATTAACTCGCTTTTACGGTACAGAAAGTCATCTCAACTTTATTGGTTACAATTTTTATTGCATTAGGTCATACTGCTGAAGTTACTGGCGTTTGTCAAGATGCTGATGGTCGGATTATTGCTTCTTGTCAATCTTCAACATTGAGTTCCATTAACTTATACCTTGGTGTTGTCCATGTTTGGCGTATGCCTGACTTACTTCATTCTTCACTACATATTCAAAAACCACTGGGAACTGGGAGGGTTCAAAATGCTCAGTCTTTAAAAGGTGTATGTATTTCAGATCGATGTGAATTTTTAATTGCTTATGGAATGGACGTTCGCTTACGTGGTATGATAGTTGTATGGGATTTACGGGTAGGCTAACATGAACATAAAATTTACCTATACTAGTGAATAATAATTTTTTCTAAACTTTGATAACGTCATGACTGATCTGTTATTATGCTTTGTATAGTCTCACTAATGTACTTGTCTGGATCTGTTTGAAGTATCAAGTTATCAATAATGAATATAGTTCTTAAATTTTTAAAGCAGAATATCAATATAGAAACTGTACAGATCTTTCAACTCTCCTTGAGAATAAATCAAGTGAAATTGGCATGAAGTAGAGTTCTTACATAGCTTTTAGCTAATGTCTTAGCTTTTCATTAGCTGTACATTGTCTTGTATATTTACGTCAAATTGCAAATAAAATATTCACGCGTTACATACACAATGTGTAACCATTAGTAAAATATATCACTGTAACTCTTGAGATGATAGAGGAAATTTGTAGCTCAGGTGGATGATTGTGGTGGTGTTTTGTTCTCTGAGCTGGATGTTTTGGTTGTGAAGCTCTGACTGTTCTTCTGAACAACATCACCACAAACTTCACTTCTATATATATATATATATATATATATATATATATATATATATATATACTCTAGGAGAGTATATATATATATATATATATATATATATATATATATATATACTCTAGGAGAGTATATGTCTTCAACTAGATTTGTATTTCAGGGATCAAAGATTGAGATATAGATGTAGATATTAACAGGTTAAAGGTCGATAACAACCATGTTTGACAGGACAAACTACAAGTTATTTGTGGAAAAATTCACATCTACATGAAGTTTGTATTGATGATTTTGTTCATAAGAACATATTAAGACTCGCTAATCAAACCATACAGCTGAAAAGACAATACTCCACAATATAAAAATTAATCTCTTTGATTACAGACAATGTGGGGTTAAGCTTAGTTTACAAACTAGATACATAGAATAATATCATTTCGACACAATGATATTTAAAATGAGATACTTATCACCTTTGCCAATATTATATTTGCATTTGTTCATTTAACTTTATTCCTTCTGTGTGTTTTGTTAATTTTCTATTAAGAATCTTCTTCATAGTAGTGTATTACCGTTATTAGTCCGGTCAACAATTGACAATACAATAGGCTGTTTATGTCTTTTGCCAAACAATTATAAACAAAATGCAAATCCAGATTGTTATATACGTTTTGCTACTCTATCTGGATCTAATACTTCACATGATACAATTATTGACTGGAATATCCAGGATAAACATCAATGTGCAAGGAGGAATTCACTGAGTGAAATACGTTTATGGCGATTGAAATATGATGCATCAGTAAAACAAGACACAATTCAACAATCTACATCAAGAAATAAGTACCATTTATCTTCTTCAGTTATTTCATTGAATTCAGTGATTGTCCCGATGTTACGTCAATCATTTAATTTTGTGAGTTGTTGTATTAAACCTCAATTAGAAAATTTCACTCAATCTCATGATAAATTGAATTATTCCCTATTAGTTGGCTCTTCTACAGGACATATTTTAGAGGTAATTTGTTAATTTATTAATCATTTTATTTATTGCTAATTACATTCAATAAACACTAAACTGATGTAATTTTTTGTAAACAGCACATCACAACTATCAGTGCTATATCAAGTCATGTTGCACGTTATATTGCTTTACTTACTTAGTAGTGTGTGTACTTATATATGTCAAGCCCACAGGGCTCCTTTCAACTTTCGGACAAGTTAATTAACCCATTCTTCTCGAGTTAGTCACACGTCTTTCAAACCTGTCAGTCATTCGCTCATAACCTTGGCTGCTTTTATTTCAGTGTGTGTGTGCATATTTACTTCGCTCAATACATGTCTAGCCTACTTTGCCTCACTCACCTTCTCCACTTGACTTCGCTTTGCCTTTACGCTTCGTATTCTCATATCTGTCTACGTGAATGATTGTTTGAAATAAACATTCATCCAACTGAATCTGTATTTGGCTTCTTATAACCGCCGTCGCACAAACGGGGTTCGCCTAGGTGTACAATGTACGGAAATTGAAGGGAAGATTTATTTCTTCGCATACCTGAACGTTCATACAAAGTGGTGAACCCTACTTTGAAGTTAACTTAGCCTTCAAACGCCTGTTTTTTTATGCGAAAACTATATAATTTTACCTTATTATTATTAAGTAACTAATATTTAATTGTAAAGCTGTCTTCCTAGTGTTTTTTCCTGGTTAATTTGTTGCCAGATCCCTTTTTTAAATTAGTTGAATGGTTACTTGTCAAACTAGTCCTGTTTCTCTTTTTTCCTTGAATAAAGTTGTTTGCTTCCTGTGGATGTTTTTTGCATTAAATACGACTTTCAAATTCGTTCCCCAATCATACACAGGTAATTCTGTAGTTAAAAAAGCTAATATAGATTTCTGACCTTCTATCACCTCAGCCGTTTTCATTCAAGTGAGGCAGATATGCGTAATATAACTTTTTTATCACTTATCTCGAAATCTTCCATTTTCATTTGAACTAAGTTACTTTAAGAATTCGCTAATAAAGGTGTTTCGTAGATCATAACGAAACACCATCCCTAGTTGTCAATATTGGATCAAAATTGCAAATATGTCGACCTTGTTCAGTAAAAAATGGCTGATCTTGGTGCATATGTTATATTTAGAAAATAATTAATAATGAATGTGAGTCTCACAGTATTTGAACTTCAAATCCTTCTTTTAGGTAGATTTAAATCTCTTCTGCATTTCAAATATCTATCATTTAATTGCAAAATCACAAGAAGAAAATTTAACAGACAATAATGATTCAAACACAGTTGAATTACAAATTTCAGCTTCTAGAGAATTTCGAAACAATCAATGGATTTTAACTGTTACCGATCATGTAAATCATTCAAAACTTCATCTCATTTCAATTGCATCTATTCATTGGATCAATCCTGGAATCAATTTTTCTTTAGGCTGGTTAGCTGTATGCACAAAAGATGGTCGTCTATTTTTATTGGAATCGAATAATTCATCAAATTCAGTGTTACTTTCAGTAAAATATCCTTCAATGATTTCGGCACTTGATTCATGTCCATGTGAACAAGATACTGTAAATGTAAATTCACAACATCAAGTGTATATTTCTATAGCAACACGTTCTGGCGGTCTTGCTTGCCTTGATCTTAACTTTGAATTTGATTTTCATAAAAACGCTACAGATACTGATGAGAATGAAATGATAAATGAATTTAAATTAATAAACTGTTCTCCTAAACGAATTCTTTCATGGCAGGCTCACAGTCCAATTATAGCTACAGATCTAGTTCAGATAGATAAACAAGATTCCCAGTGTATACTAGCTACTTTGAGTAATGATGGGTATGTTTTTTCGAGATTTAAAGAATTTATGTATTTTGCCTTATTATAGAATATCTAGAAGTATTTTAAGAATATTGTATATGATACAAATGTTATGCTTGTCAATTGATATGCTTGAAACTATTACGAGTTCATCTTAGTCGGTAAACGAGAGCGAAGACATATGACTCAGTGACACGTTACGCTACTCTAATCCGAGCGTCCCAAGGCCTCCCACTAAGTAGAGGAAGAACTCTTTATATGGTGTATAAAGTGTATTCTACATGCACCCAGAAAATATGAGGTTTTCAAGCACATAATCGAGTTTATTCAAACATCATAGAAACATCCATGAGAGAGCCACAAAAATAGCGTACTAAAATAATACATCAACCAATAATAGTCAAGGATTTTCCGGGTGAGAAATGTACTCTCAAGGTCAGCTGATGGCTTTTAAAGTATCTTTTCTTCCAATTTCTAACTTATCGCCTATTATAATTGATGACAATGAATGTTAATCCTTTCATTGTGATGTCTGTCCAATTAAAACTCATTACTTCAATGATTGGTCATTATTTAAGTTAAGTCAATGATCACTTAATAAAATTTATAGTTTTCATTGTAAATTTTCCATATGCTGATCCATACAACAAAACTGAATTAATTAAGTTTATATTGACAAAATGAGCTACTTATGTAATAGCAGTATATTCACATGTATTCACGTAACCAACAGCTTGTCATGGAGTGTCGTGAGTCGTGTGGAGATTGACTAAGATCACCCACCACTAGAGAACAATTACGTGCAGGTCACAGAGAAGAAAAGTTAATCCATACTAAAGAAAATATATTTGCTGGCGATATCATGGTATCCAAAGAATACCGAAATTGTGCCACAAAAGAAAGGAGAAATTACAGAGATAGTGGAGCCGAAATGACAGCAATACAAATGGAAAGTTTGCGCGTACAGAGCAGTAATAAACAGTGAGGTTCAGTAAAACAATCACTGGCACAATTGGTTATAATAATGGATCTTTCTAATAAACCAATCGCGTTCTTTTCATCAAAGTAAATCAGTACAAACTTATCACACTTAATTGTGTCAATTGATGGTGAAAAATTCAATTAGCCAATCAGTTATCCATAAGCAACGTGGAACTAGAGTTGGTCAAAAAACGTTAAACATGGGTAACATAATTCACGAAAAAACAAATTCGCGTTATGAACAAAAATTAGGGTAGTAGATCTTATGATCTGAAAGATGATATACAGTAAATTCGTCTGTACCACTGAAACCGATTCGAATGAATATGTTGGGGATGTTAGATCTTCAAAACTCGCTTGATAAAAAATGCTTTATTTCGGATTTCACGTTTGCGAGCATGGACTGATCAGTTGACCCTGAGATTTCATTTCCCACCAGGAAAATCTATGGCTGTGATTGGCTGCTGTGCATTTTAGTGTGCTATTTTCGTAGCTGTCCCAAGGACGCTTCTATGATGTATAAATAAACGAGAGTTGTGTGCTTGATTGTAATGTGATTGCTGGGTGTTTGTAGAATATACTTTCTACGCTTACAAAGCCTTCTGTCTCCAGCTTGGAATTCAAGGTAGCCTATTTGGACGCTGGTAATTGTCTCGTTCGCGTTTATCGACTAAAGTTAACTCGTACTAGCTTCAAGCGTACCTAGTGACGAACATATCAGAATATCACCCAGATTCTCCAACCATTGGTCACAGTAATCATGAAGGCTGTATCTCGGTAGTCTGCATCTTCCAGCTTGGATTAGTTCAGCTGACAGTAACTTTGTGGATTGATGCTAGCTTTTGATTTGTCCGGTCATCGGTCTATCTTACTCTAATATGGAATTGTCAAGATCTTTTTTAAATATCATTTTAGTTGTTCCAAATTATAAGAATATATATTACATTCTGAGTAGTTAAACAATTAAAATATATATTCTTGATAATGACATGAAAACAATCTGTTTAAGTAAGGAGCAAGTGTTGCTGAGATCACAATTTGGTTTTTTTTAATTTTATTTAAAATAATAAAGTGCTCTTAGAATTCGACACATTTCATCTCAATCATCATTGGCTAATCAACTTGAAGATGTTGAAATAAAACGCATAAATGTCGATAAAACTTGTATAAACAAAGAACTAGTAGAAAATCCATTAGTCGATTTAATTATATCTGATGAAACGCCAACTTGTATTGCTATTCGACCGAAATTAAATTGGTCAGAATCAAAGTTCAATGACATGGATAATACTATATCATGGATTCAAATTGCATGTGGTTATTCTAAAACTGGTCTAGTACGTGTCTTCTCTCCAGTCAATGCACAAATGTTATACGAATCAAATTTCCACAAAGGTTATGATGTCACAGGTACGTTGCTTTCACAATATACAATAAAGTAACCATTGTAGGATTTAATTTGTCCTACAGATGTAATTCTAGAACAGTAAACGCAATATTGGCGAGCACAGAGTCTATGGGAAAGCTATAGTCAAAACAAGATCAACTTTTGCTTTAGGCTTTATCTGTTTCTAAACATAAAAACAATTAGATTAGTACAATAAATAGGGAAATTACAATTATAAAGTAAGACGGGCAAACATACCGACCAATATAGCACGTTTTCGGAAATGAATAAAACTATAAGTCACATCAATATAATAAGATAATAACGTCCTTCAATTAGTAAGTCATTTACGACAAAGAAAGTTTACAGACACGTCAGATGAGATCACGTGGTGGGCGCTTAAACCACAATTTGATTGGTTAGTTATGACATAACTACAATTAGTTATAAAATAACTAACAACCATCGGTGCTTCAAATTATCTCCCTTTTTAATTTAAACTATTATTTAGTTGACAAGAAATTCGTTGATATATTATACAATTAATGATTCTCTACAAAAGTTTTGTCACAATTTTTATGATGAGAAATTTCTTTGTAGGCCATTTAGAGCATGCGATTCATTTGGCCTACATTGTTTTTAAAGGTTCTTACCTAGCTGAATATATTTTAACTGATGAAAAGATTTAGTTTATATACTGTACTAGTACAATTCATTAATGGTGAGGATTCTCTTTGAGTAAACATTGTCGGATATTCAGTGTGGATTCCATTTTTGACTACTCATTTTCTCCTGTTACCCCTGATAGGGCATAGGCCGTCGACCAGCGTTCTCCAACCAACTCTGTCCTGGGATTTCCTTTCCACTTCTACCCAATTGTTATTCATTCTTCTCATGTGTACGTCCAATTTTCAGGACAATGTGTTACTTGGTTTTCTTCTTTACCTTTGGCCTCAAAAGTTACAAGTTATGGCTTGCCTCGAGACACGATCGGGTGATTTCCTCTGATGTGACCTATCCACCTCCAGCGTTTTTCCCTAATTTACTGCTCCGCTGGATTCTGGTTTGTTCTCTCCCAGAGTAGGATGTTTGGTGATAATATTTGACGAACGAATCCACAGTATCTTGCGTAGTCAACTGTTAATAAATAACTGTATCTTTTAAATGGTGGCTTACGTAGTTCTTCAAGTTTCTGCCTCATTCAGTAGAAATATATTGACGTTCGTATTGAAAATTGTGACTTTGGTGTTGGTTGACAGTTGTTTTAAATTCCAGATGTACTTTAATTATAGAAATAATGCCCTTCCTTTGCTAATCCATATCTTTACATCTGCATCAGATCTACCTTGTTTATCAATGATATTGCCCATGTATGTAAATGCTTCCACATCTTCCAAAGCTTCTTCTTCTTCAAATGTGTGATTTGGTTGGTGCATAGTGTTGTTGAACGACTTTAATTTTTCCCTTGTTTATGTTGAGACACACTGCTGCAGAGTACCTGCTACACTAACCGTCTTCATCTGCATTTTTTGCTGTGGGATATAAGGAAGCTAGATCATCTACGAATGTCAAGTCGTCCAGCTGCATCCGTGCTGTCCTTGCTTACCCTGAGATGCTGTATGACTTTGGCTACCTTCTCAGGTAAACCACAGTGTCGAAAAAGGTTCCGTAATTTTTCGCTATCCACGCGGTCAAATGCTTTCTCTTGGTGAATGAAGTTGATGTATAGTGATGAATTCCATTCAATTGATTGTTCCATAATGATTCATAATATAAAAATTTGATCAATACCTTGTCGATCTTCAGAGATTCCTTTTTGACTACTTATAAGTAACTAAATTTTTAAGGTGACATTTTCAGTTTGTTTATGTTATGCCATCTACAATATCTATGTACATAGTTTGGTGCGCTGTTCTTAATCAATCAAATGTTTAGATCATTAATTTTCTATGACTTTAACCACTTAACATACATTTAATGAGATCTATATCTCGCATTCTGTTAATATGCTTTGGTTCCGTTTGTACGGTGGTTCCTCAAGAATTCTTGCTTCAGTATTTAGTATCGTTTGAGACATGTAGACACTGGAATGAATAGATAATGTTAAACCACAATTTTGAAGTTAAATAAACTTTGAAACTCACCTAGAGTAAATTCTGATTCTTTTGCCTTGTTCAGAAAACAGGAAATATCAATAGGAGAATTCATTAAGAAGGCATAGATTTTTCGTCAATAATGAATTTTTCTATATTGATTGTATGTACTTTGATTTTGAATTAAACATTATTTGTATGGACGAATTTGAACACTGACTCTAACAGGCATTGAAATAAAGTATAACTCCATTCCACTGTCGTTAACATTTATTTAATTCCATTTCATTATTTCATTCATAGATCAATATCTTCCTCATAAATCCAACATCGTGTAAGTAAATAATGGTATGAAAATAACACAGACAGACAGAGAGATACAACGCAGAACTTCCTACGTAAGTAAATCAGTTCAGGCTGCTTTACTACATCAGCACAGAGACGTAACTGTCAGTTCAAATCCAAGAGTGATAGTGATAGTAGAAGCATTAACAGTAATGGAGAAGATTAGGGAGCGAAGATATGATTCGAGAAGTATAATTCAGTAAGATAAATTTATAAAGTGAAAGATAGAGATGATTAGGAATTCAGATGGTTAGAATTAGAGAAAACACAGACAGTGGATGCACCTGCGCCATTGCAAACGATTCTGAACCATGTCGTTCAAGGTCTCTAACCATCGGTGACTTTCGTCTCGCGGATCCCAACCAGATAGCCTACATCTATCAACATGATTCAGTTCACTTGTCAGTGACTTCGTGGATTTCTGCCATGTTTTGGTTTGGCCGCCCCTAGCAACCTACTCCTATACTTAAAAACATAGCTCGTCGCGGTAGTCGGTGGTTAGCCATACGTAACACATGTCCCAACCATCTTAACTGATGAAGTTTCAATACTTCATCTATTGATTTGCTATCCTTACCTAGAACTCGTTTTTTAACGACAGCATTGCTTATACGGTTGGTTGTCCAATGATACACGAGCAATGCTTCGGATACACCGACGATCGAAGACTAGTAAGCTGCGGAAGTCCTCTACTCTTTACGGCCAAGTCTCGCATCCGTACAGTAGGACGGAGCGAACTGCTGCACAGTACACTCGTCCTTTGGTTAGTGAGCGGATATCTCGCCTGCGCCATAGGTGACGCAGGTTGACAGAAGCCAACCGAGCCTTCTGTATCCGTGGTGAGATTTCTTCAGTCACCAGGCCATCAGCACTGATGAGACTCCGCAGATACCTGAAGCGGTCTACACGTTCGACTACTTCACTCCCTATCACTGGTTTAGATGCCGATGCGACCCAATCCTGAAGCAACATTTTGCATTTCGAGGGGGAAAACCGCATCCCGAACATGCTTGCATTGTTGCTTAGGGTAGTCAGAAAGACTCTGCATTTTGTCAGCGTCTTCACCAAGTAGGGCAATGTCATCGGCATATTCTAAGTCAATAAGCGAGTCTCCTGGCAAAAGGTCTACTCCTGAAAATTCAGACGAGGATAAAGTTACATCTAGCAGCATGTCTATGACAACATTAAACATGAATGGGGAAAGTGAACATCCCTGACGGACACCACTTGAAGTAGGGAATTCCGATTACAGTTCACCATAAGCTTTCACCCGACCAGTGGTGTTCGAGTAGAGAGCTTTTATAAGGTTAATGTACGTCGTTGGTTATGAATATGACTGAAAAAGTTGATGAAAACTATATGTACATTATTTCCCTGATGAGAAATAATAATTATTCCCTTTAAAAATATGAAACTTCTATTTCTTTTTTTCATGATACATTTATTTTTACTTTTTTATTCTTGAAAAAAAAACACTTTTATAGCGCTACTTTATTCACCATGTGGCAGTTATTTGTACACATCAGATAGTTCTGGTCAATTAGCTGTTTGGAGAATTATCCATAATGATACAGAGAAATTCTATGACAATCAATTATTGCATTCATTAAATTATCAAATTGGTGTATTTTCTACAATAAAACCTCCTCAATTGACAATGCGCCATCATGACAATTCATCAATGTTATTATTAGAAACGAAAAAAAGTATCATTACAATATCATCTAAAGGATCATATATTGCTTATATGGGACCTCAATTAGAAATGCTTACAATTGCTAAAGGTGTTAGTGTTTTAACTAGGAAACAAATTGATTTAAATCATCTGGTGCTAAAAGTAAGCTTTGTTCAGTATTTATTTCAGTATGTTCAGGCTTTAATAGAATCATTTCAATTAACTCTGGGGAAAATTATGTAAGAGTTTATTAAATTTGTAATCGATTAATTGATTTCGATTAGATGTGAAAAGTATTTGTTGTTGCTAAAGATCAAAATTGCAAATACATCGATCTGATGTGTGTCGCATTGAACGCTACGCATGTTCTTGATTTTACTGCTAGCTAGATTGTGTTTATTTGATACAATGTGTTCATTATTACACAGTTAATTCGAATCATGAGCAGTTTTTAAACGTGATCAATCAATCAATAACAACGTAGAAATTTCTACGTAAGTACATCAGTTCATGTTGCCATACCACGTTAGCACAGAGATGTAATTGTCAATTCAAATCCAATAGTAGAAGAGGTATTAGCAATAGTCGGAGAGGTTAGGATTAAAAGATATTATTCAAGAATGAGTATCTTGTGAAATAAAGTTAAAGTGATAAAGAATTAAAAAGTTTAGTAGTTGAGAGAACACAAAGAATGAATGCACTTGCGCCTTTGCAATCGGTTTTGAGCCATGTCATTCAAGGTCTCTAACCATCGATTATCATCATCTCGCGGACCCCAACCAGGTAGTCGACAATTACCGACATGGCTAAGTCCACTCGTCAGTGACTTCATGGATTTGTGCCATCTTTTGGTTTGGTCGCCCCTAACTTTCTTCCAACCTACTCCTGCACCACAAAACGTAGCTCTTCGAGGCAGTCGGTGGTTAGGCATACGCAGCACATGTCCCAACTACCTCAACTGATGAAGTTTCATTACTTCATCTATTGGTCTGCCATTCTTACCTAGCACCCGATTCCTAATAACAGCGTTGCTTACTCGGGTGTCCCAAGATATACGAGCAATGCTTCGAAGACACTTATGATCAAAAACCAGTAACCTACGAACATCTTCTACTCTCACTGGCCATGTTTCACAGCCATAAAGTAAGACGGAGCGAATTTTGAGATGGTGGAGAAAACTTGTAGCTACGCAGTACGCTCGTTCTTTAGTCAGCAAACGGATATCTCGCCTACGCCATAAGTGACGCAAGTTGACGTTACTTATAAACCGGAACTCTATGATTGGAAAAGTAATGTGAGTTTGGTCGTTGACACGTTCTCAAATTCGTTAAAGTATGCTTCTCAGTTATTTAGTCTATAACTGACTATCTAGCTTTCAATAAAAATTTATTGTGATCAACCGATAGCGTACCATTATCTAATCAAATAACAGTACACACAAAAAAATGAGAGAGAAAACTGTCAACAGTTCGAAATTAAAGTGAATGACTATTGAGTAGTTACTAGTCTTTTAGTATTGTTTGTTGTAGTTCACTAAAGCAAGGATCGTTGTCAATGTTCCGAAAGGTCAACAGAAGCACTAAGATCTGTGGCACCGTTTAGTAACGTATGTTTGAATACTACTGAGAATACTAGTTCCCTTATTGATGAACACCAGGCAGCCAGCCAGAAAACTAGGTCAAAGGTTTTCTATTTCCTGACTACTTACCTCTAACGCCCTAATGTACCATGGTTTATTTTATTTCCTGTCGAGTTTCTTAATTTATTCCAGTATCTTCGAATATTCACTGTAATACAGCTGTCTACTGTATTCCAAATCGGGTCAAAATAACTCACTACTCATCAGTAGTTGATTTAGTTTACTCTCAGTGAGAAAAAATATTTCATTTTCGATCTATATTACTTTCATAGTTCTGTACATATTCTTTAGCAACATTGTATGACACTCACAAATTGTTTCAGTTTTATTAAACTATGAATGTAATCACTTTTAATGAAACATTTTGACAATTTCTCTTTATCAATGAGTATTTCAAAAGAATTTTAATTTCAATCTTTTTATTTTCTAGTATTTTCCAAATAATCAAACAAAATCAAATCTAAATCAAAATAATAACTCATTGAATTTTATTCAATTCATTTCTCGATGTAATAAAATTGAACATTTAACTATGAAGAAGAATGATACACGTCTTGACGATTATACTGTTGATGATGATGATGAGTTTTTATTTGTCAGTACATCTCAAGGTTATTTGTTTAAATTCAACTTATTCGATAATAAACTGATAGCATGTGCAGAATTCAATGTCATATCAAATTCCAAGAGCACAATTTATATGACTGCTATGAAAATTGCGCCTAATGGGCAAACATTATTATTGACTGAATCGTCTACTCCATTTATATACCTAACTTCAACTGATCTCTATCCATTATATGATGAAAATAATCACATGAATAATAAAACAACAGTAAATCGAAGTATTATTTATCAAAAATTCACTGGTCATATTTATCCAATTGACAATATTTATATCACTTTAAATGAACAATATTGTATTAGTATTGATACTGGTTTCTGGTGTCAATCTACTGATCTAACGAAAACTAATCGCAAAACCTGTATAGCACATAATACTAATCAACAAACGAATATTAAAGCAAGTAGTATATTTATATGGAAATTCAATTCGGCACAAAGATTACCTGACGTGAAAATGAGAAAGAATACCACTTTTGTTCAACCATTAGTGTCATGTGAATATGAGAATAAATCTACACCAATTAATCAATGTACTACAACTACTACGATGACGACAACACTTGAAACAAATCATGATCAGAATGTAACTTCCAGTGAAAATTGTCATATAAAAAACATACAAGCAAATACACACTGTAACAATTATCCTTTATCTCATCGTCATTGGACTGTTTATGCCGCCGATAGTAAATTGAATAGGATAAAACAATTCCAGCCCAATTTATTATTGGAACAATTGAAATTCACTTTTATCCATGATCACTGTATGAAAGGATTCATTGTTGGATTTGGTTGTTACAATCAAATGATTGATAATTTAATATGGGATTCCGATACTGGTATATTCTTGTACACTTATGAATCTATGCTTGTTATTGAAGAATTAGAAACTGGTTTACAATTAGCCTATCGATCTGTCGCATCATCAAACAACTTAGATGATAATAATAACATAAATTTCACTGGAGAAATTTTCAATTCACTTGCTTTAGCTCCAAATAAAACAATGTTGGCTATTGGATCAACCAGCTATTGGCAATCTAATGAAGATCATTCTAGGTCTACAAGTATTTCATCATTTATCATTGTACCAATGAAATTCATGCATTATCATGGTAAACGTCAATTCAATCTGATATTGAAATATGATCAGAGTAGGCGATTTTTATTGCCTATTCTTGTAGATAAGAAGAGTTCAAGTGAACAAGTGATGATCAATACCAATCCACTGTCAGAAATCAATACAAATCTTTATGGTATTTTATTGTCAATGACATTTACACTAGATTCTCGTCATTTAATTACAATTGAAGATTATCGCACGAATGAAGTGAAATTATGGTCAGTAGCTGATTGGACTTTATTGTCAACTATCCAAATCTGTGGATATTTTAATCAGATATTATGTTCACCATTATTTAGTAATGAGTTTATTACAATTGGCGCTGAATTTCATAATTCAAATCATGATAATCATGTTCAATTTTCAAATCATGAAAGTTCTATTCTATTTTGGAAATTCAATATTAAATATTCCTCCAATTGTGTGAATGATGATGAACTAGTGAACATTGATAATAATCATACAATCAATACACAAAATATACTTACATATACTAGAGGAAAAAATTGGTCATTTAATGAAAATAAATTATTGCGCAATACAGAATTTTGTTCTGCAACATATTTACAAATTCCAAATAAATATAAATATTACACTACAATGCTTAAAATGATTTTACTTATTATTGTATCAGATAATTTTGGAAATATCAGTATATGGGATGGTAATAATCACATGTGCTTACATAATTTCTCAGCAGATTGTAATGAAGTTAGTTAATTTATATAATGCTTATATAATCAAAACAATGATTAATTCTTAACATCGTAATGAGTTGACAATTAAATTGTTTATAGTTGTTTAACTTAGGAGATATATGGTCTAGGCATGATAATCATTGAAAACTTAGGACTAGTAGATAGCTGTTTAATCCTAATTTGGGATTCTTCAATAGTGCTCATCCATGAGGTCTCATCATGGAATTAAAACTAAGATCATCGCTTTCGCCTGCGAATGCTTAGCTTCTGGATCAGTGAGTTCCGATCCAATTGTGATATTGTTTAACTTCAGTTATTATACGATCTGGCAATGCAATAATCTATCTGTAATGCTCGTCAATTGATATACTTGAACTATTGCGAGTTCACATTAGTCGGTAAACGAGAGCGAAAACAAATGATCCAGTGGCACGATAGGCTACTCTAATCCGAGTGTCCCAAGGCCCTGCTAACGATATCAAAGAGTGTTGATCTGGCATAGAAAGAGTATTCTACAACCACTCAGAAAATCGAGGATGACAAGCACACAAATTCAGTTCATTTACACATGATAGAAACGTCCTTGGGAGAGCCACAAAAATAGCGTACTAAAATAAAATACCAAGGATTCTCTGGGTGGGTTTCAAGGTCAACTGATCAGCCCATGCTCAAAAACATAAAATCCAAAATTAGGAGATTTATCAAGTGAGTTCTGTGGATCTAACTTCTTCAACACTTTCATTTCTCGTTAGCGTCTCGTATTATTCCTAGTAATTTTAAAATAAGATTATTTACATTTAAGTTGTCTGATTACACAAATGATCATGTCTACATGAACCTAAATAACTTATCAATAATTGCTCGATTTAAAATAGTTTGCTTAATTCAATTTGTTCGAGGTACCATGTAACCAGATAGATGATGTTACTTGTATTTATATTTCAAATGGGACTATGTCATCACTGTGTTAGGTAGATGGTAGATATATTTGTTGGAAGTTTCATATAATATGTCACAACTAGGCAATATAGAAAGACAACATATAATCATTTAAATTTCATCAATCAACTGATTTATTTTAAAAATTGAATATACATCAATAATTTCAATAAAATAGTTTCAAATCTTAAGCGAAGTTGCTAGACTTGTGTTTTTAGTTTCGCGATAGAACTCAAACTTGTTTTAGACTAATAATTTCTCTTTTTGTCAATATCCAATGTTCAATCTCATCATTACGTCTATTATAATCCTAAAAGTTATTTTATTGCATTCTATTTCTACTCCTCCTCTGTATTTACTCCCCTCCCACAGATTAGTGTCATCTCTTCCTGTGGTCCACATGGTTTTGTGACAGGTAATACTAATGGTTTATTACGTTATTGGCGATTAGAAATAGAATTTTTCACTAATGAACAATATTCAAACTATCAAAATAATAATTATCATAACAGAATTAAAAATGTTGAAGCAAAACATATGAAATCTATATCTCACTTTGATAATGAAGTAATTTTATCAGCATGCTTTGATATAGAAGGACATATTGGTGTGATTAGTACAAATAACTGTAATCTATGGTATGTTAATGCATATTATTATTTTGTAATGTTCATCTTATCAGTGAACTTTCAGCTGATAATTGGCCGTTTGTTTTTACATCCTAAGCCTTGTCATATTTTCTAAGAATGATTACACTGCATCGATTTATTGCTTTTCTATATTTGACTAATTTGTGAGTTATCGGTTTTAATGATTTCACCTCGGTAATAATTGAATTTCAATCGATTCATTGCGAAGAATTTTTAGATATGAATGATCCTGGGACGACCGGGTAAGCAATCCTATCGTTACGAAACGAGTTCTAGGTAAGGATGACAAATCAATAAATGAAGCATTGAAACTTCATCATTTGAGGTGGTTGGGACATGTGTTACGTATGACTAACCACCGACTGCCTCGACGAGCTATGTTTTGTGGTGTAGGAGTAGGCCGTAAGAAAGCTAGGGGCGGCCAGACCAAAACATGGCAGAAATGAATGAAGTCAGTGACAAGTGGACTAAGTCATGTTGGTAGATGCAGGCTACCTGGTTGGGGTCCGCGAGATGATAGTCACCGATGGTTAGAGACCTTGAACGGCATGGCTCAGAATCGTTTGCAATGGCGCAGGTGCATCCACTCTTTGTGTTTTATGAAATTCTTAGCTTCTGAATTCCTCATCATCTCTATCTTTCACTTTCTAAATTTATCTCATTGAATTATACTTCTGGAATCATATCTCCGCTCCCTAATCTTCTCCATTACTGCTAATAATTCTACTATCACTATCACTCTTGGATTTGAACTGACAGTTGAGTCTCTGTGCTGTGGTATGGCAACCTGAACTGATGTACTTATGTACGAAGTTCTGTGTTGTATTTGTTTGTCAGATATGAATGATGAACAGTATGTATATATTTCAGGTTTTTTGATGTAGATTAGATACCTATTTGAAACCAGTGAGAAATGTTTTTCTATTTTCTATTTCAGGACTCTTTAGCATCATGACAGACAGATTCACGACTCTTTCACACATTAAAATCGAGCACCTTTAGGTCCTGTTGCAGGTGTTTCACTTTCAGATCTCTAAAATGGTATACAGTATCTTATACTCATAAAAATAGTTTACTTCGTGATGTTGTGAATGTGTACTGCTTGAGATACTTACACTAAAACGAAATATAGTCAGTTACTGCTCAGTTTCTATTAGTTGTGTAATTGAAGTTTGGTAGGAAATCACAGAATTACACAATCTCCACAACTTCTCCTGCCATATTTAGTTGGAATATGAATAACTTTATATGGTGCTTCACTGTCTCAACTTATAATCAGAATAAAAATCCCAAATTATTCATTCACAAAAATCTCTATCCAATATAATTGATATGCATGCAATTACATAAAGCAACTGTTAATTGTACTGATATAATTTGTGATAATTTGACTAGATACAAAAAGGGTACCAGTTCCTAGATTAATAATTATAATTGACAAATACTTGTTATTAATAGGTGTCAGGATATTGATCAAATATCCTAAAGAAATTATTTTCTAAGTCTAATTCTGTTGGTCAATTTCTAATGGTCAGTATCTAAGGTCGTCCAAACTATCAAGTTCACATACTTCAAATCTTGTTTCCTACTAGCTAGTAATCACGGTCGTCCCAACTGCACAAATATGAATTGTCTGTGAAGTTTTATGATCCTTATTTTTCTTCTGTACTCGAACCCCATAAACAACTTCCATCTAGCGGTGTTATGTTCTGATATATTGGAGATTTGGGGAACAGTATTTGAGGTCTTACTGGAATATCTGAATTTGGTCAATCGGTAGAATTTCGAATGGTCGTCACATCGCAGATTATAATATTTGGCGACGGAGTTTTGTCGAACGACTTTGCGACTAACTATGAATCCAGCCAAATTAGTGAAATTGTTCGAACAACAGCTGAAGCTGATGGAGATGCTTACTCAGGCGCACACCACTTCTCCAGTCCCAGCTACACCAACAATTCCTCAATTATTCGATGGTATGACCAGTAGTATTTCAGAGTTTCCTTATAATCCTGACGCCGATATCACATTTGATACCTGGTGCAGGCGTTATGAAGCCCTTTTGAAAGTTGACTTCGCTGACAGAGATGATCCTTAAAAGGTGCGTCTTCCCCTTCGGAAACTTGATGCGTCAGAGTTGGACAAGTATTGCAACTTGATTCTACCCCAGAACCCACGAGACCGTTCATTCGATGCTACTGATCAATCCCTCAGCCAACTTTTTGATGATCATCAATCTTTTTTTAATACTCTCTATCGCTGCTTGAAACTGGTCATGAATGAGTACGACGACTTCTTGACCCATGTTGGCATTGTCAACCGTGAGTGCGAATGGTTCAAGCTCAGATCCCTTACTGACGACCAGTTCATCAAATATCCCAACAATAGGCATTCTGTAGCATTTAGAATATTAGTCTCTATCAAGTTAACGAATATGTAGATAGTAGTTGTTTCGACAACTTGTTTTAAGAAAAATAACTCTATTATTTGAAATTAGTTATATTACTTGCCTAAAGGTCTAACAGAAACAAAATGGCATAAAAAATGTGACGCTGTTATGATTATTATAAAGTATTATATTAATTTTAAACATTTTCTCAAGGTATATTGATTGGTCCGAAGTGGAAGAATGGACAAGTCATGCACTTTCACCAGCGAATAATAATAATAATTCAGCATCAATTACACAAGATTATTCAACACTTTTATGCAGTGGATATAAAACACCAATTATTGGATTAATTTGGTGGACAAAGCCTCAAAGCTTATTATTATCAAATGAGAATTCTCTCAATAATAATAATCATAATAATGATTTAAATTATGCCAATGATCTTCTACTAACATGTTCATTAGACGGTAATGTACAATTGTGGAATCCAGATTCTTGTCAATTTATAGCTGAATTAAAGGTTATTTATTATTATTATTATTTTATTGTAAATTATTTCTTATATTCATATTAGTTGCAATAATCATAATATACATACTTTTTATTTTAAATGAATGTGTTAACGCAAAATTTAATTGAGTTTTGTTTTGTTTTAATTAATAATGGTACATTGTCATTTCAATTATTATTATTGTTTAAGTTTGATTCGTGTTCAAACATGAACTTAATCGATCATTCTTCAAAATCTATTACTGCTGATGATGTGTAATTTGATTTATAAATGCTGATTTTGAATATTAGGTCATCATGATAAACTATAGTTAATTACTGTAAATAAAAATAAAAATGTAATTCTTTGTTATCAACATTTAAAAGAAAAAAGTGAAAACTTTTCGTCTCCGAGATATATTAGAAAAGTAAAAGTGTGAAAAATGAATTCATAACTCAGTGATGACCAATCCTGTCAAGTAGTCAATCGAATTCACTCGATCAAGTTGGAATGTGGTCATTAGTCTAAGTGGCTTGACACAGTAGTCAACTGAGGCAGTCTAAAACATTATCACACTGAGTTATTTGAGTATAGTTGAATGATGTGCAGTCACATCCCAAAGGAAACACCAATTATCTCGAAATCCGGGTTATATAATACTGACAAGTGCTAACTAGCACAAAACCTAAGTCTAGATTTCGCCGTTAGCCAACTCCAATCAAATAACATAATGAAATACCAGTTGTAATTTTAGTTTCAGAGTTAGTTATAAGAAAATGAATGAATCATAGAACTGTAGGTAACCTGTAGTGTTATTTAGTTTTCATCCACCAGAGTCAGTTTCATCAACAACAAGTCAAATAAACTTCGTTGACCGTTAAATGTGTCAAATTGTCTCAGTCAATTCGTCTGACTTTTTTAAACGGTAATGAATTTTGTAGACATGAATTATCATCAGTATTTTGATAATTCATCGGTTGAATTTTTCAATTAAAAGTAACAATATTTATTTATTTCACTGGCTGATCATCGTATTGCTTCAATAAAGATGTTAAATAACTCCTGATTGTAATTACTGATAAGAAAAAATTCAATATAAATGTCATCCTATTTTCAGCAGTACTTCTCTCTCTAGCACGCACACACACTCATATATATTTACATCTCATCAGGAACTGGTATTTTACGGTTTACCGTAAACGTATATTATCACTTCTAAGTAACATTTTAGACAGACTCTACTATTCTATGCTTGAAAAAGTGTAATCTAGTAGCAATTTCCAGCTGACATTTTGTAACGCGTGTAAGCAGCAGTCACTGAAGGGCGGAGAGGATCTAAACTCACAACACAAAAGGTTAGTTTAACACCTCACACCAAGAGAGAACACGAAGTGGTTGCCACGGCACTTTTTTATTTGAAAATTAAATACGCGGGGTTTCTAGAGAAATAGGGTGGGTAGTTTGCCAAAGTCTTATGAGTCATCCTGTAAGTTCAGAGCACTCAGGGCTTGTTCTTCAGCTTTCAGAACGTTTGTGTTCGATTGCCCTGAAATAGAAAGAAAACGGAACGGGTTAGCAACATCATACATGGTGATTTTGACTCCGTCACACCACCCCTTCTCCTAATGAGGCACTATCTTCAATGCCTGGTCTCGGACAAAGATATACTGCTCCTCCTTCAGCCGGTATCTCATAAAAACTAGTAGCAGGTGGTGGATCTGTGAACGGAGCATCGGCAGGTACTGTTGTCCGATCTGACTTTATTTGATCGTAGTGCACCGTTATTACATCGTCCTGAGGTCGTCGCGGTTTACGTAACACAATTGTCGTGAGGGGTCGGATGAAGACGATTTCGAAGGGGCCGTGCCAAGGCTGGTAGAATCTACTGCAACTCCCTATTGATGTCATGGGGCGGCGTAACCAGACACGGTCTCCAACTTTATACACTGGTCCTTGCACCCGACGATCATACATATCTTTTTGACGGTCACTAGCCCTGTGCGAGTCGATGTTGACTTAGCGGTACGCATCAGCCAGGCGGTTACGGAGAGTACAGATGTACGGTACGTGTTCTTGTTCTTCGTACGGTAGCAAAGGCGACTGTATCTCTGCCGGGAGGCATAGTTCATGCCCGAATTGTAAAATAGCAGGTGAGAATCCCGTAGACCAATGTACTGATGTTCGATAAGCTAGCATGCACTGAGGAAGCACCTCATCCCACAACTCGGATGACGATCTGCTGATAAACGATTGTAAAATAGCTCTAATGGTTCTGTTTGTCCTTTCGACTAGACCGTTACCTTCTGGGTGATATGCGGTAGTATGCGTCTTCCTTATTCCTAATAACATGCATATTTCGGCAATGAGATCACTTTCAAAGGCCGGGCCTTGGTCGGAGTGGAGTGAGAGTGGGGCACCATACTACTTATATGCCAATTTGTGAGTGGCATCCACTTCACTACATTAATGTTATATAGCTTGAAAGAATAATTGACAATAACCGGTCTTAACATATATATTTGTTTGAACCGTCATTACTTGATTCATTCAAATGTCCAATATTCTTTAAACAAAATTGACATTTTTTGTTTATATATAAAAAAACATAAATTATGAACTGGTTTGTTTTATTTTAACCTTGTAGACTAATGAATTGGTGAATAGTTTAAACGGATCAATTGATACAATCGACTTATGTTTATTAGATTATCCTGATGTAATGTGTGTTGGATCAGAAGTAGACATCTTCGACAATGAAACGCTTTCATCTAAAGAAGATAACAATAATAATAATCATAATAATAACAGAAAATCACCAGGATGTTTAGCTATTGCTTATACAGATACATGCGTACGATTATTTTGTTTACATAAGGTAAACAAATGTTAAAGCTTTCATACAATATTTTCTTGTTTCATTTTAAATAAACTGTGTAGTTGTTGTTTAGAAAAACTTTATTCACTAAAATGGGGGAATTTCGATTAACCAGTCTTTATGATAGAAATCTATTCTTTAAGAATGAAAAACATGGAACCGATGTGTCAGCGAATATTAAGATTGTTTACTCATCTAAACATTGATACTATCCGTAATACATGAAGACGAACAAAAAATCATTGAAATATAAAATAAAAGTTTAATGGATCGCTTTCAAAACTTTTATCAATAATTCATGCTGGAAAGTGGTACAAATGGTAGTTTGTTTAGTAATGTAATATTGTCATTATAAGGTTGTAGAGATTATTAAGTTCCACAGAAATCCTGAATCAATCAATGTAAGAGCACCATCGGAAACCTGAAACCAACGGATGTTAGTTTCGTCCTAGGATGAAACTCATCAGCAATATGCATTTACGAACTCACAAGAAGGAATCGAACCCAGAGCATCTGATCTCGCACAAGGGCGGTTAACTCCTAGACGACTGAGCTGGCATCGAACGATGTTAGAAGTTAATGTCCAGGACAAGACGGCCATCCACTACTTCCAAGTTTGTGATGGTGGTATGACATTGATCAATTCATGATATTAATGAAACATAATATTGTCCACTAATAAGTTTAACAATTATGTTATTGCTATGAAGTTTAAGGATCTTAAACTTCATTAATAAAAATTCAAATGATACATCAGTTCCTGAATAGAATAATGTAGATTTTCTTTTGTGTTCGTGTCAGGGATGTTAGATACCCAAAACTCGCTTGATAAATGCCTTATTTTGGATTTCACGTTTGCCAGCATGGGCTGATCAGATGACCTTGAGATTTCATTTCCCACCAGGAAAATCCATGGCTGTCATTGGCTGCTGTGTATTTTAGTGTGCTATTTTCGTAACTGTCCCAAAGACGTTTCTATGATGTATAAATAAACGAGAGTTGTATGCTTGGTTGTATTGTGATTGCTGGGTGTTTGTAGAATATATTTTCTACGCTTACAAAGCCTTCTGTCTTCAGCTCGGGATTCAAGATAGCCTATTTGGACGCTGGTAATTGTATCGTTCGCGTTTATCGACTAGGGTGAACTCGTAATAGCTTCAAGCGTATCTAGTGACGAACCCTACAGTTCAGTTAATTGTAACTCATATAAAACAAAGATACATTGGAATAACTTATAGTCTCTAATTTATGCATACGTGCAGTTTTGTGGTATGCATATTGTTGTTCTACGTGTAAAGCCTTTGAATATTTTATAAGATCATGTCATATTACTTATTGTTGAACCACTAAGCGATCTAGAAAATTTCTATCTTATACACCTCACTAGTCGTTAATATATTTTATTCACAATACTTTAAATGTTGTTTCTAATTCAAATTAATTATGCATTTTTTCATTACAAATCATTTTGAACACGTTTAACAAAGAAATTTTTAAATTTCAAGATCATTAAAACAGATTTTCCTCACATCCATACAACCGCTACATTCAACAGAAAAGGAACCTTATATCCGATCCCAACAACGAAATAGTATTGTGTGAATCGAACGGATGCGATTCTCATTGTAGGCTAAAATAAAGTTACACTTTTCAATTGAGTTTTTCTCTTGCGAGCTATCGAACTTAAATGGAAAGTCTCATCAGCCCTGGTAGGTTTGTGTCTGATGATAGCTGAACATGAATTCAGAAAGGTGATTTAACTTTTTTCGGCTTGCGTCAGTTGTGGCAGTCGCATAATTATCTTCAAAACTTTGCTCATGTTCCTATAAACAACTAATTAAACAACTTTAAGATTAAGCATAATGTACTGAACACAGTAAAAAAAAATTGCTCGATGAAATTTTCGAGGTTCGTTAACTGAGGTCAGTCACACCACATACTTCTACGGGGTAATGTTTGACACTGTATAGATAGGTCTGAAGAATGTTAGAGACTTTCAAATCATAACGCAGCATCAGTCCATGAAGCCGTTTGTCTTGTAGTGAAGAAGAACACAGGTGGGGCAACCGAATTGCATTTAACGAAAATTACAGAGTTACTCAGTAAAATCGGAAAACCATATCGTAAATTGTTAATTTGCAAAATATCAGTCCATCATATCGAACTGGACTGTTCCTGTTTCAAAACGTCAATCCATTGTCACCATTCATTCGTTTCATACGAATTCCATTGTTTTCTAACTCTTCCTTTCTTGATCTTTCCCCATCTTCTGCTGCCAGACATTACGTTGACACTCACGTCATATACTACTTATAAGTAGCTCGCACCACAGTCTGAGTCATGTGAGTAAATACAAACTACCTGGTTGTGATCCACGCTGTAACCACAATCAGTGGTTGAAGAGAGGTGACAATGCTCACAACGGCTCAGAAGCATTTATCTTCTATCTCTTTGCTCCAACCATTGGTTACGATTAACCATGCGGATGTCAACCAGATAGATGATTATTATCTACTAACACAGTTCAATCGAACGGTCAATAACTCCATAGATTAATACTACATTTTTATTGTAGGTCATCTCAAGAATTTCTCCCTAATCTACTACAAGAACAGGAAAATGTAATTGATAATTCAAGTGATAAGTTTTGAAATTTATTTACTTTTTACATTATAATTATTTGAGATAAAAAAAAATGTATAACAATAAAAAGGCCTATTCAAAATATACCAAATAATGATATTTTCTTTAAAACAATAATTGCCTTAAAATTCTTACTTTACAGATGTGTCTCATCAGTGAATCTGTACAAATATTTCCACAATTGGATGATCAAATTACAGTAATTCAATTTTGTAGTCCATATTATTTAATCATTGGAACTAGAAACGGTTTGCTTCTACTATTATCTATCAGTCATCATATCGAGAATAATATTAATAATAATAACAATAGTAATACTAATCAACAGTATCCACAACCTATTCTCATTAAACGTATTATCAAAGATTACCTAGTTGATTATCATCAAATCTCTATGCCTATTCTATGCTTACATACTTATTCACAACCTTTATTATATGATTATTATTTGCATCGATTGCAACAGAATAAAAAACAACAAATCAACAATTCAATCATAAAATCCGATATAACTGAAGACAATCAATCAGAGTCGTAAGTTTACAATGATTTATTTGTTATATATAGTAAAGGGAAAATGATGACTAAATAAGCTGTATGATGAGTTGATCAGGTCACTTAATCTTTTATGCTATTTACTTTTTAATATTCAATTCATACTGTATGATGTTCACTATCCTACTACTAAATAAAGTCAGTCAGTTACAACGTAGAACTTTGTACGTACTTACGTTCAACAGTTCAAGTTGCTGAACCAGATCAGCACAGAGACACAATTATCGGTTATGGAGAAGATTAGGGCTCAAAGATATCTAGTGAAGTAAACTTAAAAAGAGAAAGATAAAGGTAATGAAGAAATCAAGAGAATTAAGATTTGTGAGAAGCCAATCAATGGATGCACCTGCACCATTGCGAACGGTTTTGAGTCACGTCATCCAAGATCTCTAACCATCGATTACTACCATATCGCAGACCCCAACCAGGTAAAGTGAGTGATATGGATCTCAGTTGATGACAGTGATTGAGTTTTATTCATCTATTCCTTGTCTTCCTCTGAATTAAAGGAGTCAATATGAAATGGAATTCTTTAATGTACAATGTCACTGATACTTATTATTTCCATAATATCATTACATTACTTACAAATGCTTCCTCATTTGTTTCCAGTAGGTTGATGTGAGATGTCACATCAGTTGAATCAATCTAGATTCGTGTCAGGCACCATGTTATCTTTGACTGTACAAACTGAAATTTCTTTTACTAAGTTCATGATTAATATCTAAAAATTCTTGTTCAGTTCATCAATGTTATTTGTTTGTCAAATAATGAAATATGTTACATGTTGGCAAATAATCTGTTACACATTCAATGTTAGACCACCATTAGAAACCTGGAAGCACTGGACGGCCGTTTCGTCCTGGTATGGGACTCCTGCGGGGTGAAGGAGTCATGGATGCGCACTGCTGAGGAGTCCCATACCAGGACGAAACGGCCGTCCAGTGCTTCCAGGTTTCTAATGGTGGTCTATCATTGATCGATTCGTGGTTTCAAAAATGTGTAACTTAACAATCTTCACAACCCCGTAATGCAAATAATCTGTTATCAACTATGTGGTTCTCATTTGGATTTTTTTTGAAGAGTTAGTTCCTTTGATAAATTTAGATAATTCCACAACAAGACAATAACTATCATCTTCGTACTGTAACTCGATGCTTTTACCATAAAAACAGTTTGTTCTGTTTTAGTTTCGTTTTCAGGAATAAGACAAAAATGTTTGCGTAAAAATTTCATACACATTTCAACCAAATCTATCCATTGAAGAATGGAATATATTGATAAGTTTTTTTGAATGGACATAGATATATTTGCATGATTTTTATCTTCAGTTCAGTTACGCCTGTCACCCCAATGGAGCATTGGTCGCCGACCAGTGTTCTTCAACCTACTCTGTCCTGGGCTTCGCTTTCCAATTCTGTCCAATTTTTGTTCATTCTTCTCATATCTTTCTCCATTTCTCGGCGTAATATGTTTCGTGGCCTTCCTCTTTTCCTCTGACCTTCAGGGTTCCATGTGAAGACTTGTCTTGTGACGCAGTTGGGTGCATTCTGCATTGTGCGTCCTATCCACTTCTACCGCTTCTCCTTAATTTCTTCCTCCAATGGAATCTGGTTTGTTCTCTCTGACAGTAAGTTATTGCTGATCGTGTCTGGCCAACGAATCCAAAAGAACAAATTACCCACCATAAATTGGATGAGCCCGATATGATCCAATTTGATATGCGAGCGCCGGAAGGCAAGCAAATTAGCGGATCGGCGAATGAAGTGAAGCGGTGAAGGCTAGTGAGCCAATTCCGAGAGATAAAGTATGGCTAAGAATTTATACCCAGACAAAGTAAGACAGACATGTAACAAGCGAGACAGGTATGCACACACAAATAAATAAAAGCGACGAATGAATGACAAGGTCAAAAGACAAGTGGGACAAGTCATGTGAGCTGGACATTGAATGACTCACTACAACCTAAAGTGTTAATAGTGTGTTTTTGAGAATTTTATTTTTCAAAATGACATGCGAAACACTTTCAGTTAATAGTTATTTATTTTGGTGGATGAAGACTTCAGGTACATACTTTTAAATTCATGTTGAAATCGATTTTGTACGAATTCCTTTAGAAAGAAGAATATTACTAGTGTGTCGTTTTGCCTTACCTTATTATATAGTGGCAATACTTAAAGTTAAAATCGTATTGATTGTATTAGATTAAAAACAGTGTGTATTCTTTAACGATTTATCACTTTTTTCTTCTATCTACCACACTTCATACTTCATGTGTATATAAACCTTACTGATTAACTAAACAATCTTTGTGTTACATATTTGCTAATCTATTGTCTTTTTTCTTTTGATAATACAAGATGGATATGTCTTGCAATTGGAGCAGAGAATCGTTTAAGTATTTGGAATTTATCAATTTGTTCCAATCATTCTCAGCATAATCCTGTACGATTTTATTTGATTGTTTGGTTACCATTGGAATCATTAAAATTGAATGATATGAACAATAAGGAAAATGACAAAAATCAACCTGTACAATTGTCTTATTATGCGAGTTTTTTACCAACACAAAATTTAAAAGATATTTTGAAATTAAATAGCTGTAAGTTGTATGTATGTATATTATTTCTTTGAATGGAACTTTGCAAAATCTAAAATTTTAATTTGTTTATATATATTAATGAGTGTGGATAAACATGATTTGAAATTTAGCTAAAATTTACATTACAATAGGAATTTTATTATGTGATCGGTAGAAATATGTTCAGCTTGTGTTGAATATGACCGATATAATATGTACGCATCAATAAAACACTTGAAACCGTAGTATAAAAATTTTAAATAACTTAATGTGATTACAGTTGTCTACGCAAAATACTTCGTATTCGTTGGCCAGACCTGCTGTGGGAGAGAACAAACCATATTCCAGCGGAGGAGGAAATCAGGAAGAAGTGGTGGAAGTGGATAGGACACACATTACGAAGAGCACCTAACTGTGTCACAAAACAAGCCCTCACATCGAACCCTGAAGGTAAAAGGAAAAGAGGAAGGCCAAGAAACACATTACGCCGAGAAATAGAGAAAGATATGAGAAGAATGATCAGAAATTGGACAGAATTGGAAAGGGAAACCCAGGACAGAGATGGTTGGAGAAAACTGGTCGGCAGCCTATGCTCCATTGGGGGTAACAGGCGTAAGTAAGTAACGTGATTACAAAGTACGGAAGAAGTATAAGGGAATGTTATGGCTTGTAGGCCGTTCATAAATATCAATCACACGATAAAACCAACAATCAGAACATCGAACAGTATAACCTTGTCCATGGGCTAATCAATAATAACACACCACTAATAAATTCCTTACTGGTCCCTCTATACGATAACCTTTCTTCCTGCTCTACCAATTGAGTCCAGAATATAATAATTGGCCTTCGTTATACGAATAATAAATTTTAAGCTTGCGTAGTTTACATACAAACACTTTAGACCGCATCATACAAGTAAATGAAAAGTAAAAATTATACTTTTACATACTAAAAAGTGGCTGTGAATAGGGGAGATTGAATAATAAACTAACAACATAATTGTTATGTTCGTCACTAGGTACGCTTGAAGCTATTACGAGTTCACCTTAGTCGATGAACGAGAACGAGACAATTACCAGCGTCCAGATAGGCTACCTTGAATCCCAAGCTGTAACAGAAGGCTTTGTAAGCGTAGAAAGTATATTCTACAAACACCCAGCAATCACAACACAATCAAGCACACAACTCTCGTTTATTTATACATCATAGAAATATCCTTGGGACAGTTACGAAAATAGCACACTAAAATACACAGCAGCCAATCACAGCCATGGATTTTCCTGGTGGGAGATGAAATCTCAAGGTCAACAGATCAGCCCATGCTGGCAAACGTGAAATCCGAAATAAGGCATTTATCAAGCGAATTCTGGGTATCTAACATCCCCAACAATAATCCAGTTAATAATTATACAATAAGACTATACAAATCAAAAAAACCTTTGGTCTCACGCGTGAACACTTACAAATCTACGAGATATTGCACAACCTGAGACGGATAGGTGAGGCAAATATTAATTTTTTTTGAAGTCTGAAAGCAATTAATTGAAAGGTAGCTTATGATTTCTAATGAGTATAAAAATTGACTTGAACTTTTCCGAAGTAGCTCAATTCTTCTCACTAGCAAACCATCAGTAGCTCGTGTACTTTACAAATACGCATTGAAGAAAAGCCATCCATATTTTTTATTTATTGTCGTCATATCACCGAGAATTCCACATATGGCATATTGTATCCCAATTAAGAGAATTTTTATAACTCGTTTATATCTCACTTCTTTGATGTCATTGAACATTCCTTCCAATTTTAATACATCTCACTAGTAAATTTGCACAATTACCAGAATCAAATCAAGTGTTGACAATAGATCACTAATTTGATCTCAGTAGAAATGAATAAGTGTATGCATGAATGTCCGTTACCTGGATAATGCTGAAAGTTTTGTGAATGTTGCAAATTAATTGCGAATGAATATCAAGCCAACAATTAGTATAAATCAAAAAAGAACAACAAACTCTTACCATGAATGAAGTGTTGTGAACATTGGCTTTGAATTGTTATTGTTAAGATAATCTGATCGTTTTGAATAAAACAATCAATATAGTATACTATTGAAGCGATTGATTATTCAACTTCCGTAAAAATATGGAAGAGACACAATGGGTGATGGAATTTCTGTAAATTTATTACACATGTAAATGATATAATTGAACGCAACAACAACAATAAAATCAGAAACCTAAATAATGAATTTCTGAGTTTGCGCTATACAGTGTTTTGTTTTATGCGATAAACTGACATTTCATTTCGATTACATTAATATTACATTCAATAGTAGTGTGGTGTGTGCTACTTATACGAACGATATAAGTAGTATAAGAAGGGACGTGAAAGAAGTCTCACGGTCAGAAGAGGAAAACGGAAAGCAAATGGAGCAAAAACAAGACGTAAATGGAGTACCAACAGGAAGGGAAGGAGGCAACAACAGGAATGGAAGAAGGATGAAGCGTTGGAAGTCAAGTCTCAAAGATGGTGTGCAAATAGAGTGTTCAATGTAATGTTTTCGTTTTTAATTGACTCAGAGTGAAAATTCGCATGAGAAAATTTTCCGCGCCTGCCTCAGTCTTCTCAGTAGTGATGGTTTTGTCAATTGTCTTTTTGCATAACGTATCAAATAATGTAAATTCTTTAATCTTTTTTTTGATAAATTGAATAAACCGCATCCTTTCTTCCACTTGTTCTTTTTTCTATTTTTTTTCGTATAGACACTGCTGAAAGTTATCATGAACTTGACAATCCTTATATAATGATCTATGCAATAAATGCCAAAACAGAAATGACAAATTTATGGATCTATTCCATTGATGAGTTGTTACAAACTCAAGCTCATCATTCATTACCATCATCATCATCATCATTATGTTTACAACTGTCTTCTGGTAAAGTTGAATCCATTACCCCTGTATTTATATTTCCTACTACACCACCACCTATTAAAACAGCTCATAATTTGTTATTATCATGTTTACAATTCATTGTATTGACAAGATCTACATTAAATCCATATCAAACTGTTATTCAACTGATTCACTTCCAATCGAATAGTTTACAAATTCAATTGAAACAAATCAATGGACCACAATATGTATATAATAATACGGCTTTCATGAATAAAAGTGATAATAATAATAATCATCAGCCATTTGTATCATCGAATCCATTAATCAAATCAATCATGATACCAGAAAAACAACAACTATACATTGCAGCTGCTTATGGTAAAGAATTGTTGATTTGGTTAGAAACAGATATCATGTCGAAAAAAATTAGAGAATAATTCCATTGTATTATATAGTTAGTTTGTTAAAAATTTTTTTTTTAAAAAAAGGAAAGTTGTATATATGAATTGTTTTTTGATGTTTACTTTCAAAGAAGCACTTTTCCATGAACATTCAATCAATCAATCAACAGGAACGTAGAATTTCCTACGTACGTACATACATCACAGTTCAAGTTGCCATATCACATTGGCATAGAGATACATTGGTCACTTCAAATATCATACTAGTATATGTAGGATTTAATTTGTCCTACAGTAAACGCAATACTGGCGAGCACAGAGTCTATGGGAAAGCTACAGTAAGAAGAAGATCGACTTTGCTTTAAACTTTATCTGTTTCTAAACATAAAAAAACAATTACATTAGTACAATAAATAAGGAAATTACAATTATCAAGTAAGGCGAGCAAACGTACCGACCAATATAGCGTGTCTTATGGAAATGAGTACAGTTATGAGTCACACTAATATAATAAGATAATAATGTCAATCAATTTGTAGGTCATTTACAACAAAGAATGTTTACAGACACGTCATTCAGATCTCGTGGTGGGCGCTTAAACCACAATTTGATTGGTTAGTCATGGCATAACTATAATTAGTTATAAAATAACTGACAGTATTTGGAGTGAAGGTATCAGCAGTAATCAGAGAGGTTAGGGTTTGAAGAGATTATTCAAGAAGTAGAATCTAGTGAAATAAACTTAAAAAGAAAAATATTAAGGTGATGAGGAATTCAGAAGTTTAGGATTTGATAGCAAACAAAGAGTGTATGCACCTGCGCCATTGTAAACGATTTTGAGCAATGTCATTCAGAGTCTCTGACCATCGATTACTATCATATCGTGGGCTCCAACCAGGTAGTCGACACCTGCCAACATGACTCAGTCCAGTTGTCAGTGACTTGGTGGATTTCTGCCATATTTTGGTTTGGCCGCCCCTAAGCTTTCTTCCAACCTATTCCTACATCGCAAAACATAGCTCAACATGGTATTTAATTTCAACAACAATGCATGGGATTTCAATCTTATTAAATGAATATTTTCACACTACACATTTAAAACACCTGATTATCTAGGGCTAAGCAAGTGAGTGATTGAACAAAAATAGATCTATTAAGTAGTTAACAACTAAAAACAAACCATATACCCATTTGCTGAAATGTCAATAGTTGGTTTGTTAGAACTGATAGTCCTATGATTAAAAACTAGTTTCATAAAATAATTGACTAAATAATAAGGGCAGATATTTAAGAAATTGTTCAGATCGTTTTTTAATTGTCAGAAAGGATTTGAAGCATTTGTTAGGTTTCTCACTAGCTGTTTGAATTACACTCGCTTTTCAACTTTTTCCATAGCATCAAGATACAAATAGTAAAAAATTCCAATATCAGATTATGGAGATCGTTGATTTCCGTCAAGATCACAAACTGACCAAATTTAAATAATTATTAAGAAACTAGAATCACAGCATTCTCCAACCTACTCTGTCCTGGGGTTCCCTTTTCAGTTCTGTTCAAATTTTGTTCCTTCTCATGTGTCTCCATTTCTCAGTGTAATGAGTCCTATGGTCTTCCTCTTTTCCTTTGACCTTGAGGGTTCAATGAGAGGGCTTGTCTTGTGACGCAGTTAGGTGCTTGCCTCAATATGTGTCATATTCACCTCTGGCGCTACTTCCTGGTTTCTTCCCCTGCTGGTATCTGGTTTGTTCCCCCCACAGTTGGTTGTTACTGATGGTGTCTCGCCAATGGATTCTCAGCATTTTGCGTAAACAATTGTTAATAAATACTTGTATCTTGTGGATGATGGCTGTAGTAGTTTTACAAGTCTCCGCCCCATACAGTAGAACTGTCTTGACATTTGTATTGAAAATCCTGATTTTGATTGATAGTTGTTTTAAGTTCCAGATGTTGTTCAATTGTAAAAACGCAGCCCTTGCTTTGCCGATCCACGCTTTGACATTTACATCAGGTCCACCTTGCTCGTCAATGATGCTGCCCAGATATATGAAGGATTTACGTCCTCCGAAACATCTCTGTCAATAGTGATTTGGTTGGCGCATCGGAGAATCTTGCTTTTCCCTCTGTGTACGTTGACACCTGCTATGCTACTTGATAATATTTATTTCTATTTAAAAATTACAAGTTACACTTTTTTCTTCGACTGTTATGATACTTCGTTAATAATAGTGTCTTTCAGATAGTCTACAAGTAGTGAAAGTAGCTTTGCATAGAAACACATTAACATAATAATGACACGATGCACACATTACAAGTTTAAATGCACGTGGATTCATAAGAATATTGGTAAGATATAGGATAACATTTCCAATGTTAGCTATTGTCATTTAAATTAGTAACGATTAGAATCATCAAGCAAGTACTTTCCCTGACATAGACAATTTAATCAAAACAAAAAGTGATTACAAGTATGTGTTGAAATAAAAATTAGTCAAAATCTTATCATACAATATTCGAATAAGTGGATTCTCAGCAAAACATTTCTTTAACTGGAAAATTCAAATCTTTTCAAAATCAGTGAATTACTTGAAGGTTGCTGTACGCGGATTTAAGCCATACATTCCCGTTGTATGATAACTAATGAATAATATACTCTAAGCACTTTAAGTAAACACCTAGATCTATACGTTGTACCTATTTGTGGTTTTGAGCAGTGTTTCAACTATGAACATTTTTAAAACCTAACTGACAATAACCAAATATTTAAATCATCAATCAATCAGTGTTAGATCACCATTAGAAACCTAGAAGCACTGGACGGCCGTTTTGTCCTGGTATGGGACTCATCAGTGGCAGTGTGCATCCATGACTCATGCACCTCACCGGGTTCGAACCCAGGACCTTCGGTCTTGCGCACGAACGCCTAACCTCTCTCTGGATCACTAGGCCGGTATTCAACGATGTTAATTGATGATTTCAAAAGTTTAGTTTCACTCGTTCTTTAATATTAGCGCACTATTCATAGACCAAAAACAAAATCACATTGAAAACTCATCGATTCACATCCCAATTATATATATTCATGTAAACTATTTAAACAAACAAAGCAAATTTTAGAAAAGAGAAAAAAAAAAGAAATACATACGAAAATGTTTTTAAATTTAACAAAAACCGAAAAAAGAAATAATTGAGTAAACAACGGTTCAAAATTATATGATCAATATCATCATCGTCACCATCATCATCAGCATCATTTCAGTGAATAATCAATGTCTAATATAACCACCATTTATTTGTTTGTTTGTTAACACTAGAAAGCAGCCATACGAAAAAAACAACTCTTCATATATATAATACTAGTTGAATGTTATTTATTACATAAAAATGAATATTTCAGTGTACATACATATATATATATATATACCCTTATGTATAAATACAAAATTTGTCAAGTGCAAAAAATGAAATAATTATAGAAATTGTTTTGTTTTTTTTACCAGACTTAAATGTAAAATGTAATTTAAATTTGACAATACCAACAACTACAGCAACAAACAAACAAAAATTTTTAAAAAATGCATATATCATAAACAAATTGGCTAATAAGAGAAACGATTCTCTTCAAAAAGAAGAACAAAATAGTAAGAGTAGTGTACACCAAAATTAATTTCTTTTATCACTGATCAAAAAGGAATAAAAAGAGAAATGATGACGAACTAGAAGAAGAAGGACAAGAAGAAGAAATCGAAGCATAATATTCCAAAAAAATGAACACACTATTCATCATCATCATCAACAACAACGACATGCTACTTCTTCAGTGACAATGAAGAGACAATAATTCAAGAAATCAATTGGACACTAACATGAATGAGTTTTATAAGAGAATGACTAATGTGTGTGTGTTTGGATGTGTGCAAGAAGAAAATACATTTAAACAAGTTATTCAATAATAAATAACATTGAGTTAAGTAAACAGGTCGACTGATAAATTTAACTAAAATAAATAAATAAATGAAAAACATATTGCTATGATACTCGTCGTCAAAAACAATTTGAATTTCAATGAAATCTTGATATATCATCATCATTCAATAACAAGAACGGATAGTTGAAAACATACATTTTGTGTTGCGCTACTGCAACAATTGACTGAAGAAGAAGTGCACAACTTATTTTACACTATATTTGGGAAAAGAATAATCAATAACCATGATTATATATATACGTATATATATATATATTTATATATGTCAAGGGAAAAAACAATAATAACAACTAAATATATGAAGTAGAATGCACAATAATGAATGACTTGAAGGGGAAATAATGTGTACAAAGAGATTGGAGCGTGTGTGTATGTGTGGGTGTGGGTGTCAATGCATTATTACAGGTAATAAAAATGTCAATCAATCTGACAATAGACAAACATTTGTCAAACATCATTGAAATTAGTACTAAATTACTCAATAACAAAAAAAGAGTAGAAGAAGAAGAATATTGTTTTTCATTCATTCATTAGAGTTTACAAATTCTAATTTTACCATTAACATATTCACCTCACAAACGAATACAAGATAGGAACTAGTACAAATGATGATGATGAGCTTGAAATTAAAATCTGACTGATTGTAAACACACAATACAAGGAAGAAGGAATAGCATAACATTAAGAATAATCAATCAAATAGAATTATTATTATTATTCGAATTGATTTCACTGCTGCTCATTACATCTAATGCTTCCAGTAGTACTTCTGTCGGTCCTTTCGATACTTCGACAACACCACCTTCATTATTGGTATAATCTGTTAAATGTGAATAATAAAAGGAAATAGAAAATTTCGTTAATCAGTCAGTGGTAGTGAGCAGTATGAAATACACTCTAAATGTGACGATGGGATGATACTACCCGAGGTTGCCTATACCGACCGAAATGCAGCAGTGTTCAAACATGGTACTTGGTAGCTGAAAGTTGAATGCCCTAATCAGCACTTATTAAGATACTGCGCAGTTCGGTTAGAAATACTATCTGAATTATTCAATTGTGGTGAATGGAATGTGATGTTCAAACCTACAAATTATTGTTTGTTTTAATTGAATGATTAAATTGTAGTTAACAATCCATAGTTATAACTTGGAAGGATTAACCTATTTAACTGGTAAGAAATCAGTAACATAGTAGATAAATTGAGACATGTGCTACGTATCTCTACCCACCGACTGTCTCGACGAGCAATGTTTTGTGGTGTAGGAAGAGTAGGTTGGAAGAATACTAGGGGCGGCCAAACCAAAACATGGCACAAATCCATAAAGTCACTGACAAGTGGACTAAGTTACGTTGGTAGATGTAGACTACCTGGTTGGGGTCCGCGAGATTATAGTAACCGACGGTTGGAGACCTTGAATGACATGGCTTTAAATCGTTTTCAATGGGGCATATGTATTCACTCTTTTGTGTTCTCTGAAATTCTAATCTCAATACCTCATCACCTCCATGTTACTTTTTCTAAAGTTATCCCACTGCATTATACTTCTCGAATCATGTCTTCGAACTCTAATCTTCTTCATAACCGCTAATACTTTTAAAATCTCTGCTACTATAGGATTTGAACTGACAGTCGCGTCTCTTTGCTAATGCGGTTTGGCAACCGGAGCTGATGTACTTACGTACGAAGTTCTACATTGTAGATGACTGACTGAGAAAAATTGGACATTAAAAAAATTGATATCAAACGTACGATTCGGAACATGTTCATAAGCATCAATAACAGGCGGTTCATCCATGTGTACTGATTCATGCGGTGAACTAATTGGTATCTTTATTGAAGGTTCTTCAGAACTTTGAGAAATATCACACCAATGATCATCTATTAATTGATTAGTTAAAACTGGAATCTCTTGATTCATTATGGAATTCCTACTTTTTTCTTCATTGGTATTATTATTCTCTTCATCACCATCGAGTACACTTGAAACATCTGGATCATTATAAGGACGTAATTTAGGCAGACGAAATGATGAAGTTGACAATCTTTTATTCCAACCAACTGAACGTTGTGATAGATGTGATGCTAATTTAAGAGGATTGCCAGCGGTCAGTTTTGTATGTAAACGAAGTTTTGATGGATTCTTACTGAGAAAACGTCCACTAGGAAGTCGAGTTAAATTTCTACCAGTTGAAAGTTGTTTTCGATGTCCAGTGAAATTGCCAGGAATTCGTCCATGACATGCAGGACAATAATATACTTTTGGAAGCTGAAAAAAATAGAATAGAAGCATACATACAAACAGTGTGTGCCTGTGTGTATGTTGAGCGGGAAAATGAAAAATTATACAGTTTTATGCTAAAACAAATGTGCCAATCAATAATGAATGAATTTTGATTTCGACCAATTTGGTCTCTCGTGCTGTTACGGGTATGAGGGCGGTTGTCACTTCCCGGCTTCCTACACTGTGGAAGGTTGTTTCTTGAGGAACCTGAAAAGGAAGATAGATTGGTGTTGGTCTTGGAGACCTGGGAGCGTGACCGCAGAGCCCAAGGGACAACTTCTTGAGGCCAGTCACACACGGCCTTTTTATGAAAGGTTTTTTGAGGATTAGCCCCGCTCGTAAATGCCCTTAGTGGGAATCCTTACCGCTGGAGACGGAAATCCATGAGGTAGGGTGAGGTGTGACATATCTGGGGTCGACCTTTTCTAACCCTTCCTTCCTTGAGAGAAGGCAGCATCGCTGTAGATGCTGGTTGTCTGAGGGAAACACCTTACTGCTGTCACACCTCTCTGCAGTCAGAAGTACGACTTCGCCCTCAGACCTTGAGTAGCTACTTTTAGTCTCATCGTTCTCCAATCGACTTGCCTGGAATGGTAGAACCTATAGGAACATATTTTCCAGCCAATATAGCTCGGTTAGGTAATCACGATAGGCAAGCCCGACCACCACGTCAAGGTAGCAGCTACAGTCGGCAATAATGAATGGATGAATGAAATGAGTCAGCTGCAAGTCAATAGAGAAGGGAATGAATTTGTTATTTAAGTTTTTATAATCTTAGTAGATTCGCGAGTGAGTTATTATTTTTGATGCAATAAAGGGTGCTTAGAAGCACACGATTTGTACCGGTATTAGGAAATTCAATATTAACCATCAAAATAAAAGAAAATCAACGATAAGGAATAAACAAAACTTACGAAATACAAGTTATTAACCGACTAAATAGAATTTAGAAACGCATTCAGTAAGAATTACTTTTTCACTACAATAAATAACAAGCTGTACCATTGTGTAAAATGCTTTATAAACTTCAACCATTAAACCAATGCAGTTAAACGGCATCACAGTTAAGAGAGAACTTCTATGCTATGTAGAGAGTCTTAAGTTAGAGCAGCCTATATATTTATTCGCTAATCGACCGTCTGTGTTAGCGAGTGTAACATAATGAGTGAATAATAAATAAGTCTGTGTAACCTATATTTATCCTTATAACCACATTCAGTGAAATTTCACAACAAATCTCATCAATTAATTTCGTATTTTTTTACCTCATAGTCTATGTCTAAAATTAACCATGTTCATATACAGTGGTTGACCTATGTCAACGTTCTAAATGCATGTATTCAACCACATTCATTCCATGTGTAACTGTCATGCTTCACACATACAAAGTAATTAAGGACTAAATGGAGAAGCGTTGACGGCTTTATAAAACCAAAGAATTCAACTATAAACACCAAGAAATGACTGCTTAGTGTCATTTATGCATGGCGCATGTAGAACTCAGCGTACCAACTCCCATTACCTTACAATCTCTAGCTGGCAATATTATTATATTATCATCATTAAATTGACCACAAAGACAAATGAAATTACCTGGAAATGATGACGAATTCCAACGCATATCTGATGATACCATTGACAACATGCTTCACACTGGACCCATTTCACAGTCCCAGTTTGTGGATGTAAGCATGGTCCTGCTGGGCATTCATCATCTTCATAATTAGATGTTTGATCATCTGTAGCACAATCTTTTTCCTCTTCCTCTTCCTCTTCTTCTTCTTCTTCTTCTTCTTCTTCATCGTGACTTTCATCACTGTTCACAGTTGTCGGCATTTTTGGTTTTTTCGTCATCATCGTGGATTGAATTCCACTTAATCTATTCCGTCTAAAAGCTGACCGTTTTCTGCCAACATTTTTGTAGCCTAAATAATTGGATGTTGTTTTACGATATCGTATTGATTCATGTCTTGGATGATATGGCTCGTTGGTTGATGGCTATAATGAATTGTTTGTTTTAAACAAAAGATAATTATTTGTTCATTATGAAGGCATCGACAACATACATCTATATAACATTGAAAAAATTGTTCAACATCTTCTATCATCATCAACTGTTGAGTAACAGTTAAACATTTTAACTGATTAATCTATGCTTAAATTATGCTAAAGTATACAACAACACAATACCTTGAAATCTATGAATTAATTACTACTCTAACCTACAGTGTATAATTGTTTGTATACATATATACACACATTAAATAAACATTCTGTTACACAAAGGTAGTCCATAAGAAGACAAAGTATAAACTTGCATATATGATACATTTTGATAATAAATAATTTCAAATGTGTAAAACTTAACAATCTTCACAACCCTGTCATGCAATTACCTGTGCTCACTAGTGACTAGCTCCGTGAGGAAGCTTCTCTGAGTTCTAGTGGGAAGTCGTGACCAGTGAAGTTCAACCTGTTCGGGTGTAGACAGTAACTACCGAACACAGTGTATGAGGTTGCGCAACTCCGTGAATTAATCGAAGTTAGACATTAACACTGTTAGATATCGGCTCAGTGGTCCAGAGGTTGGGCGTTCGCGCGCAAGACCGGAGGTCGTGGGTTCGAATCCTGTGAGATGCAGGAGTCCTGAGTGCGCACTACTGATGAGTCCCAAACCAGGACGAAATGGCCGTCTAGAGCTGCCAGGTTTCTAATGGTGGTCTTACACTGATCGATTAGTGATTTCGAATGAATAATATATCATTATTTCACTCTCTTAAATTCAATGTCTCAAAAGAAACACAAACATGTGATAGCTTAGTTGAAAGTCAATACATCACGACAAATCTATAACACACACACTATGTATATGAGATTTATTTTGACATACTTCTAGGATATTCGTACTATTAGATAATTTTACTATCTTTCAAAAAATCTACATGCAAGTTGTAGTGTATGTGGAATAAACTAGTTGTTGATGATAAAGTAAAAATATGACAAATTATGAATAATTACGACATAATAAAAGTATGTACAAAATCTTTTCTGCATAGTGAATTATTAGTTTGATTTCTACGTTCAGTTCAGCAATTAATCTAACACTGTGCACTACTTCGGCTTTAGTCATTCATAATCAACTACCTAGATAAACAACATCAACAAGAGAAAATGAAAATGTTTAATGAAGAAAAATTTACTTACCGATTCTAAGCGTTCTTCACTTGTTGATGAATCACTGTATTCACGATTTGAACAAGCATGTGGACGTCGTACAATAAGTTGTCCACGATAAACTCGTCCAGTTCGCCGTGATGTCATACATAGTTGACCACTTAACAAAAAAAGAAAATTAAAAGCAAACAGAACAAAATGTAAGCTTTGTTTATGAATAAATATCCTAACATATTACTGGTTGATAAGTGTTGAGATCTTTTTAACAAACATAACGTATCGATACTTGTTAACGGGACATAGATTGGATTAAAGCATGATTGAGTTGTTGCACTCTGATTGGCTCTTTCATATCCAATCAGCGCTAATTGAGACTGAAGAGACGTTCTAGAATCTTCTTGTGTAAAAATTATAAGTATAATAATATTTCGGACTTCTCTGACTTCCATCTAACCTTGTTATTGAAATATATTCAAATTCCTGTTCAACTGTGTACTGATTTTGGGAGAACATCTCGAGTGATTTGATATCCGAGAGTACTAAGTATTATGAATAGCTGGGTTGTAATAAAGAGAGAATCATAACAATACTATTACACATAGAAATAATAACGTAACTCTATGTAAGATAATAAATGTGATGTGAACATGTGCTAGTGAAAACTAGAGATAGACTTGGGGACTTACTTGTGTTAGCGTCAATAAAAGAAGTTTAGATTTAAAAAAAGCTCATTATGCATATCGACCGATTACTGAATAAAACAGAATAACCCTATTAAGCACTGTTGTAAACCCTGTACTAGATTAAATCTCGACAACGACATTTGAAGTTAGGAAATGCAACGACAGGTTGCCATTGAAATTAAAACAGAACTAGTGACTATTATGCATTGGATTGTATCGTTATTGTTGATAACAGTATAGTTAAAAAGGCATAAACTTAAAAAGTACAAACAGTATTCTATTACAAAAGCTAGTTTTCAGAGAAAAAAAAGAAAAAAATTCAAGATGAAAAAAGTTGTTAATGTATGTATGAAATACCTTGGATTTCTAGCACGTCTATTGGTTGCAATTTTACCACTTGATAACGTCGTTGTATGACCTTTTTGTTGTAGTACATTTAACATAGTGGAATTATAAAAATGTTTCTGTTCCATGGAACGTATAGATCGATAACCAATAGCATGAGATGGTCGTTGAACTGATCGTCGACTTCGTACAGGCAATAAACGTCTAGGTCTGCCCAGCTTATATCGTCTTGTAGCAGTTAAATCTGATGCACGACCTCTTAAACGATAAGGCTATATATATATATATGTATATGAAGAAAAGAAAAGAGACTCATTATTAAACAAATGAGAATCTTGTTTGAATTAATAAATAAGCATGATTAAGTATGAATTATATGATGGATATTTTTATATGAATTAAGAATCAATGACGTACCTTTCTTTGAGAGGTGGTAAGTGTATTACGAGAGATAGGATCAGAAGCTGATGATGAACTGCTCTGTTTTTCTTCTGTTTCTGAATATATTGGACTATGACGTTGACGTTTTTGTAGCTCACTATTTTCATTTACAGATATATTACTATCATCCGATTGTTCCATATTTTTATCTAATACATTGACAAAATTACCACCAATTGGACTAGAACCTCTTCGTTTACGTCGACCAGCTTTCAACTGTTCCGAAAATTTTGATTGAGTTGATTGTTGAATATGACGTAGAATTCGTCGCCTAAGACGTTCTTCTTCAATTTTTGCAACAAATGGATGATAAGCACCAGATGATTCTATTTCTTGATCTGAAGCTAAATGCAATTGCCATAACCAACGTGTTTGTGGTAAATGTACTTCTAATAAACAAGCTTCCATAATTAAATTTTCTAATATTTTACGTGGTTCTGTAGACAATGGGAAGTGAAATCTTCGTGTTGATTGTAGTAGACAAGATGGTGTTTTTTTAATTTCAGTGTTTGTTGTTAAAAGTTTGGAATGACTAAGACGATTGTGATTTGGTGATGATAAAAGTTGACCATGATGAAGTTTATTCACTGTTAAATTTAAGGAGTTTAGACAGAGTAAAGCGAAATGAAATAAATGTTTTAAAAGAAATGATAAAAATACTGTATTCAAGTAAAATAGTAATAAGAACTTACTATACTTAAAAAAAGTGGTTGGTATAAATAAACAGCCACAAAAAGATACAAATGACAATATTATCAAATGCAAAACACATTTCAGAGATAATGGTGGAGAAAATTTGTAGCTCAGGTGGATTATTGTGGTGGTGGTGGTGTTTCATTCTTTGAGCTGGATATTTTGGTTGTGAAGCTTTCATTGTTCTTCTGAACAAACTACATCATCAGCACAAACTTCAGATAGAAGTGAAGCATTCGAATTTCTCAATGTTTGACCTGTAGCTTGTTCAGCTAACCTCGATCTTGATTGGTTGCTGTTGACCTTAAACCTGTCGTTGTTTGTAACTTTGTTTTGATTGTATCACCCTTTTGATAATGTTATTCAGAAGAACAATGAAAGCTCCACAGCCAAAACATCCAGCTCCGAGAATGAAACACCACCACAACAATGGTGATCGAATACGACGATTCGAGAAGAGTTACAAGTCCATCTGATGCATTACCGCTAGAATTCATAAAAACGTTGAGATGTTTGAACTTCCTGACTTCACGACAAAAGCAAATTCAGACAAAGATTTCATGCAGTCATGCTCAATCAAGTATTTTATAAATTATATCACTTTTATCTAAACGTTTATTAATCAATGACTTTATCTGCTTTTTTGATTCTCCCGTATTTACCTACACTTCAGTCCCAGACGGTAAAAAAGAGATACAAAGTAAGACGATAAACTCTACTTTAATGTTAGTTTGTGTACAGAAAACAAGGGTATTTAAAGGTTGATGGATGGGAAGCTTCAAGAAGCATGCTAAACTTCGTAAAAAAATGAGCAATTATCCAACAGAAGTGTGATATATAATCTGTAGGTTTTTTGAGGAGCTTCCAATGTATTCGGACTGGACTAAATAGTTTCCAGTCTTTTTCGAGCTTCTGGAAATTTTTTCCAAGGATAAATTCAGAAGCTGGTCACGGAATGTACATACGATATTGTACTGTAAAACTGTATCATACACAGGTTTTGCGTCGAAAACACGTCCCTCGAAGTAGTACTGCTATAATTCCACTACCACATAACATCACGAGTGTCTACAAAGTGATAATTATATGACCTCAATTTACTTAAGAGTCTTCCAAATAGAGTGTTAAGGATTTCTGTACACCACCTGTGTAGCAGACATACCCTTCTTCTCCAGACGATTTCAGAGTATAATGATGATCGGTAAATTAAAGCTGCTCAATCTATTTAGAGTGAAATACTGAACGGTTAAGTTTCACTGTTAATACATGTCAATTCATATGAAACTACAATAAGCTAATGATTCCTGACCACAAGTGTACATGAAACTTTTATTTGATTATTAAGTATCACCAATCACTCAGTAATTTTGTGTACCTATAACTTGAATCAACTGTAGATTGCATAGACTAGAAACTTAAGGTATTATATTGCTAGTGAAGTGTCAGTAATTTAAGCATAAAAGTGTATTTGTAAACAGATATGCACAAAAAAAGTCATAAATTGAAGTTATTCTAAACAATGAATTGAAATCAGTTTCTTCCAACTGCAATATTCATGAATGAAAGCATTTATAATTAGAAAACTGTAGAGTTCGACACTAGGTACGCCGGAACCACATATCAAAATTAACATCGGCATCAGGATCATAATGAAATTCAGCTATGCTATTTGCGATGCCGTCGACCAATAGAGCTGTGGTTGCATTAGATGAGCTGGGCTATGTGGAAGGGGAAATCTTCATTTCTGTTAACATCTGCTTCAGTTTCAGCTGCTGCTCAAGTAATAATTCAAGTTTGGCAGGATCCATATTTCCAAAACCACCGTCGCCAGTTGCGGAGTTCGTCACTAGGTACGCTTGAAGCTATTACGAGTTCACCTTAGTCGATAAACGAGAACGAGACAATTACCAGCGTCCAGATAGGCTACCTTGAATCCCATGCTATAACAGAAGGCTTTGTAAATGTAGAAAAGTATATTCTACAAACACCCAGCAATCAAAATACAATCAAGCATACAACTCTCGTTTATTTATACATCATAGAAACGTCCTTGGGACAGTCACAAAAATAGCACACTAAAATACACAGCATCCAATCACAGTCATGGATTTTTCAGGTGGGAAATGAAATCTCAAGGTCAACTGATCAGCCCATACTCGCAGATGTGAAATCCAAAATAAGGCATTTATCAAGCGAGTTGGGGATCTAACATCCCCAACAAAAACGTCCGTGTAAATAATAATAATAGTAATAATAATAATATAGACATTTAAACAATAGAATTTTAATTTATGAAACAATAGCCATCAAACTCAACTTACAATGCATTGAATCTGGTCGATCAGTAAAACCAATATTACGTTGATTCATAATTTTACTAGATGAATTGTTACTACGACTACCTAATTGTCCAAATGTAATGTCTGTTTTAAAATTACTATACGCTTGTCCATTATACATTGATGATAAATTTAAATCGTGTTTTAGACCAACACCGGAGGATGATGGATTATTTAAAGAGGCTGAAAGACCAGCTAAAGCTTCCGCTGCTTCTGCTTCTTTTTGTTCACCTGAATGACTACTACTGCCTGTTGTCAATAAGTGAGATTTACGCACTTGATTGTAATTAGGAAATTGTAATTCGAAATTAGCTAGCCTTGTTGTTGTTGTTGCTGGTGATGACAATGATGATGATGTTAAAGCGGAAGAACAAGAACGCATTTCATCAGCAACAATTAATTCACGTGGTTTACAACCACCACTTGACATTTCCATCTACAAATGGATGTCATAAAATAAAAAAGGCAACAATCACATTTTGATTAATGCATTCCGCCTAAATCTCTGTCAAGAAAGATACATATATATATATATATATATATATTTACATTTTACAACGAAGAACTTTGTAAAACCATTTCTTTTTAAAAATAAAGAAAGCAGTGTTAACACCATATATATATAAGTATTGTTTTAAATCACTGATGACTTACTGGCATTGAACAGGTAGACAGAAAAAAAACAACAACAAAAGAATATGAATCAAATTGGCGAAAGGAACAATCATGTAGTTGTCATCCGCAGTAGTGGACAAGCGAGAAATAAGGAACAGTATGATAATGAAAATTAAAGAAATTTAGAAGAGCGGAAGTATTCGACCAAATGAAATTGATTGCAAAGTATGGAATCAAATGAATTTGGGACAATGACAGCTTTCATAATTTTAAATATCACAACTATTCTATCTGATCTATAGGCATATGCAAAGTAAGCAACCGTTACTAGATATGAAATGTATGAATTTATAGTGGAGATAAAACTGGGGGAAGAAATAGTAACATAAAGAATCGAGAAAACTGATGATGACGACTGTTTATAGTCCATGTAAAGCTTAACATCAGTCACAGCTTCATGTGAAATAAAGAGGAACAGAAGAGAAGTTGATCAAACTGTTTTAGTATATACAGTTCTAAACAGTAATGAGAAGCAACCAATGTGTATGAATGAAAATTAACCATATTGCAGTAGTCAGTGGCTGCTATCTGTACTCAGTAGCTAATCGGATAATGCGATGGCATTTGAAGCGGATGGTGGTGAGTTTTTGTCCTAGAATGAATAACAACTCTCAGATAGGACGAAAAGCGCGTCCTAGATTCCACTGATAACCACCATTCATCTATGTTTAAAAGGGGAAATTGTGTCTTAAAAGTGGTAATTCTTCATCAGTTATAACCAACGTACAAATAACACAGATGTGTATTGCCGTACAATATTAACAGAACAAGATGAATTAAAAAAGAGTTGAAATCGTGAGGTAGAAATGATAATGAGAAAGACGAAACAATGAGACTGTTGTTCCGAAAGAATAAATATAAGAGCTTTTAACGAAGGAACATTCGTAGTAGTGAGCACTCATTACACAACTACAGATTGAAACCAAAATATTTACATTGATCAATTAGCAGAGAATTCCGAAACTAATAAATCGTCATTTAAAAAGGTCAATAAACTTGTGATATTATAACACAACTCTCATCCGATGATATATACATCACTTACATTTCACTTACTGACAAATTAGATTTGATTATTTTGTACTATATAGTAGCGAATATCTTTCTAAAGTGCAACCTGAGAATCCTATCAAAGATGAGTAAGTAACTAGCAAATGATCAACTCAAGAGTTGTTACATAATAAAAACAATCAAAATAATGGATGGATAGAAAACGAAGATAATGCCTTAAATAAGTTAAGAACCGGATATAAAAAAAACGATGATTAGACTTAAAAAAACAGTTAATGAATTAATTTAATCATTTATGTCAAAGCAATATATATATATATATATATATATATATATATATATATAAATCCAATTGGTAGCTAGGATGCAGATGGACGAACTGGACTTTGCAGATGACCTGGCTCTTCTGTCGCACACGTAACAACAAATGCAAGAGAACACAACCAGTGTAGCAGCAGCCTCTGCAGCAGTAGGTCTCAACATACATAAAGGAAAAAGCAAAATTCTCCGATGCAACACAACATGCACCAATCAAATCACTCTTGATGGAGATGCCTTGGAGGACGTTAACATCTTTACATATCTGGGCAGCATCATCGAAAACCAAGGTGGATCCGATGCAGATGTGAGGGTGCGGATTGGCAAAGCAAGGGCTGCATTTCTACAGTTGAAAAATATCTGGAACTCCAAGCAAATATCAATCAACACCAAAATCAGAATTTTCAATACAAATGTCAAGACAGTTCTACTGTATGGAGCAGAAACTTGGAGAACTATGAAAGGCACCATCCAGAAGATACAAGTGTTTATTAACAGTTGTCTACGCAAAATACTTCGGATTAGTTGACCAGACACGGTCAGCAACAACGAACTGTGGGAGAGAACAAAACAGATCCCAGCGGAGGAGGAAATCAAGAAGAAGCGGTGGAAGTGGATAGGACACACGTTACGAAAAGCACTAAACTGCGTCATAAGACAAGCCCTCAGTTGGAACCCTCAAGGTAAAAGGAAAAGAGGAAGGCCAAGGACCACATTACGCCGAGAAATAGAGAAAGACATGAGAAGAATGAACAAAAATTGGGAAGAGTTGGAAAGGAAAGCCCAGGACAGAGTTGGTTGGAGAAAACTGGTGGGCGGCCTATGCTCCATTGGGGGTAACAGGCTCATTAATTAATTTATATATATATGTATATAAAACAAATTATTTTTTATTAACAAACGGGCAAAAAACAATTGAAATAATCATGATGATTTACTTTGGACATTGTAGGATTCATCATTTTCCAAGATGATTTAGCGGCAGATGTAGAAATTCTACCATCTCGAGGTCTAGTTGTAGGCAAATATGAACCGATTGTTTGCGGTTTAGCCATATCTTGTGCATGGGACATCATCGATCGAACAGTAGTAGGAGTAGCAGTAGATGAAGAACGACGATCCGAACCTAAAGAACTTGTTGACGAAGAGACAAAGTCAAGAAGTGATGGTGTACTCTTCACTGTATGATAAAGTTTTTTTGAATTTACTGATAATTCAGTAGTATCATTATAATTTGAATTTGGGATGAATTCTTCAGAAACAATATTCTCTTCGATTAAATTAATTGAAGGCATAGTCATATTGGAGAAATGTTCATAATCAGACAGAGCTTGTTTTAGTTCTGAATTAGACTGTAAATATGAACGAAAAAAAAAATGTGAGGAAGGACATAATCACATCCAAAGCGAAAAAACATCCACTCATTTATTTCAATGCTAAATTTATGAAAAAGAAAACATATTTTTCTAAATACTAATCAAAAGCAATTTACATTTGCGAATTTATAATCAACACATATAAGCGAACAATATTGTTTTCGATTAGATCGTCATCAGGCTTTACTCTAATATACATGAATATTTATATGAAAATGTTAAACCAATCAAGGCAATTTGAGTGATAGTCACAATGAAATGAAAAAGATTACGTAACTACATCTAATAGGCAAAAGTTCAAGTGGGAATCTTTAAAATTTATAATCAAGCATGATTGTTGAGTAGAATAGATAGATTGATATAATCAATGTAGAGCCTGGTATAGTTATGCATTAGCCCAAGTTGCCATGACAAAAATGATGGAAATAATGTAGCAACAACGATAAAATGAGAGATTAAATCATGGGAATATAGTTTGGAAAGACAAAGTGTAAAGGTATGCAAGAAAGTGATATGTTCGTCAATTGATATGCTTGAAACTATTACAAGTTCACCTTACTCTGTAAACAGAACGAAAGTAATGATACATTGACACGATAGGCTATTCTACTCCTTTTGTCCTCAGCCCGGTTAACTAGATCAAGAGGTTTTGTTTGATAGGGCGTAGAAAGTGTATTCTACAAGCAACCAGATAATACGAGGTTGACAAGCACACAAACCGAGATAATTTATGCATGATAGAAACGTTCTTGGAAGACCCACAAAAATAGAGTACTAAAACAAATCATCAACCAATGACAGTCAAGGATTTTCCGAGTGGGAAACGTAAGCTGAAGGTCAAATAAGCAACTTATGCGCGAAAACGAAAAAAAATCAAAAATGAGGACCTTTTTCAAGTGAGTTCCGGGGGTCTAACGTCTCCAACAGAAAGAATGCCGCATTTCAAGATCGAGAGGAAGATAACTAGAGAATGAACCTGTGAGATTGTGACAGATGCTGAACACTAGTAACAAGTCTTAGAACATTGGTCACAGTTATCAGTTGGACCCCAACCAACTATAATGCATCTACAAACATAGCTCAGAACAACAGTCTATGATTTACTGAAATAACGCAACAATTTGATTTGGTTATCCTTCGATTTCTGTCAGCCGACTAATTTACAAACAAGCATTGCTAGTCAACATAAATGGTTGCCTTAGTACAACGAGCGAAATGGATTAAGAAAGAAATACGTATCCGACCAGTTTTCATCTAATTCAATCAAAAGGCACGTTTTGAACTCAAATCTATTCAATTGATTTGTTGATATGAATTAAAGTTTGATTACCTTTCTATTAGAATAATTTTATTCTAAACACTTCAGTCGAATTTTTGATAGGCATTCTGATATCATTTTTTTACTTTATGTTGTCCCAAGAAGTCGATCATTTTGATTGATTAAACACATTAACTGTAGTCAGTCAGTCAGTCAGTTACAACGTAGAACTTCGTACGTAAGTACATCAGTTTAAGTTGCCATATAACATAAGCACAGAGACGCAACTGTCAAATCGAATCCCATAATAGTAGAAATAATAGAAGTATTAGTGGTTATGGGGAAGATTAGGGTTCGAAGATATTATTCAAGAAGTATAATTCAGTGAAATAACTTTAGAAAGAGAAAGATAGAGATGATGAGGAATTCAGAAGGTTAGAATTTGAGAGAACACAAAGAGTGGATGTACCTGCCCCATTGCAAACAATGTTGAGCCATGTCATTCAAGGTCTCTAACCATCGATTACTATCATCTCGCGGACCCTACCAACACCTACCAACACCTACCAACATGACTCATTCCAGTTGTCGGTGAGTTCATGGATTTGTGCCATTTTTTGATTTGACCGCCTCTAGCTCTCTTCCAACATATTCCGACACCACAAACGCATAGCTCGTCGAGGCAGTCGGCAGGTAACACATGTCTCAACCACTTCAACTGATGAAGTTTCAATACTTTATCTGTAACTGTAACTTTAGTTGATTCAACCAAAGTTATAAATATAGTAATGAAAACAAGCTAATTTTTTTTAATGAAGATAATCGTTTGACATAAAGGATAATGACTTAAACAAAGAGTAATTGAAGCAAATAATCTTCACAATTAAATGATATACTTCATTTTTAACATCTACAATAAAAAAATACTGATTAATGTATATAATTCATCTAATCAGAAATACATCGTTAGCTGGATGATTCAGTATCATTTCGATTAATTTACAATAAAAATAGAAAAACACAAGATAGTTCAATTCAGTCAGTCAGATGCAACGTAGAACTTCGTACGTAAGTACATCAGTTCATGTTGCCGTACCACATTAGCACAGAGATGTAATTGTCAATTCAAATCCAATAGTAATAGAGGTAGTAAAGGTATTAGGAGTAATCGGAGAGGTTAGGATTAGAAGATATTATTCAAGAAGTATGATTCAGTGAGAAAAGTTTAGAAAGTCAAAACTAGAGGGGTTGAAGAATCTAGAAGATTAGGATTTGAGAGAACACACAGAGAATGAATGCACCAGCGGCATTGCAAACGCTTTTGAGTTATGTCATTCAGGGTATCTAACCATCGATTGTTATCATCTCGCGGAACCCCAACCAGGTAGTAGATAGTTCAATTAGTATACACAATTATGTGAAGATGAATATGAAAGAGACTATGTGTACTTTATGTAAATGCAATGAATGCAAACATGATAATAATTTTAAATAACTTACTGCAATCGACTTGTGAATATGTTTGATAAAAGAAATAGCTCGATTACAAAGTAGTTGAACTGCAACAAATTCTGGAAATTGAGGAAAACATACATTCCATTCATGGTTGTTGGTGTTATTTTGGTTTCTTGTTTCGTTATGATTTGAATTGTTATTATGATTATTACTAATACGTAGTGAAAGATTTTTAAGTTCTGTGACAAAATTAAGAACTTGTTTTAAATCTGGCCTCATACTACATTCACATCGTGGGCAGATATATCGCATACGCTCTGTTTCTGAATCCTGTTAAACAACGATAGGGAAAAAAAAAATTGTCTGCTTGAAAACAAGAAAAAACAATCTTCAACTACAATGAAAACTTAAATTAAACAGTGTAAAAAACCAACAAATGAAATCATCATGTCCAAAACTTCTGCAGTAAAAAATAAAGTTTAACACGTAGAAAGAAGTTCTTTTTTAGCGACAAAAACTAATTATAGAAAATATTCAAAAATGTGACGTGATCATGTTGAATAAATAGAACGTGGCTACTAGATGAATCCAGGACGCACGTTTCTCCCTATTTGGGGATCGTCAGCTGGATGTACCTCTATCATACAGTTGATATTCACTCCTACAAAATAGGATAAGACGTGCGTCCTGGATTCCGCTGCTAGCCACGTTCTATCTATTCTCAATAAACTTATTGAATAAAAACTATTTCAAGCCAATCCGCGTAGAATGCTTATATGCCAATCAAGAATGATCAAATTTCAGCTCAAACACATCATCAACGCGATAATCCAAAGCCATTTTCAAATTAAACTTATTGTGTTGGTCTCTTTAGTCAAATATCTGCAGACTAGAATCAATCAAGATGTAATTAGTCGTTGAATCATTGACATCTGCATCTCCATACATTTCTAGACAATTTCGAAAATGAATTCGCCGAAGAAAAAGAGTACTCATTGTTGAACTATAAGATATATATTAAACAAGATTCGTTAAAAACACACAGTCGAAAAACTCTAACTGATAACTTTCGACTTAATAATGATCGAAAAAGTGACTTAATTTTACAGCTTAATATGCATACTAAATGCTGTATTATGAATATTTTTAAATTTTACATCTGATGTTTTTTTTTAAATTTAATTTACCGCTTTTTTCACTATTTTTTCATTACTTTATTTCGGAGTTGTCGAATTTCAAGGAAAAATACAATCAGATATTATCAACTGCAGACTTGGTAAGCGCATACATCAGTTCAAGTTGTCATACCACATTAGTATAGACAGATTGAATTGTCAATTCAAGTCTCATAGTAGCAGTATTAGCGGTAATGGAAAAGATTAAGGATCGTAGATATGATTCAAAAAGTATTTTAAAAATGGAAATAAATTTAAACAGAAAAAATAAAGGTCGTGAGGAATTTAGAAGATTGGAATTTGACAGAACTACTAATGTGTACTTTTACCTATTATGTGTAGTTTTATATTATCTATTTCATTGTGATGATTCACATATAAATTTTCTTGATTAGGTGAATATTTTTATTTAGATATATGATGAGTGCAAAACCTGATGACAATCTAATTGAATATTATATATATATATATATATATATTGTTGGGGATGTTAGATCCCCAGAACTCGCTTGATAAATGTCTTTATTTTGGATTTTATTCATGGGCTGATCAGTTGACCTTGAGATCACACTCCCCACCAGGAAAAGCCTTGGCTGTTATTAGTTACTGAGTTATTTTAGTGTGCTACTTCTGTGACTCTCCCAAGGACGTCTCTGTGGTGTATAAATAAACGCGATTTGTGTGCCTGAATTCATTGTGCTTGTTGGGAGTTTGTAAAATACACCTTCTACGCTATATCAAGACTTGTCGTTAGTTCATTTGGGTCAACGGATCACAGTAACCTACCTGGACGCTGGTTCATTGCCTCGTTCTTGTTTATCGACTAAAGTAAACCCGTAATAATTTCAAACATACATAGTGACGAGCATTATATATATATATATATATATATATATATATATATATATATATATATATATATATATATATGATATTAACAATCAAAATACGAATCTTGAATATTTACTTTTAAAGCTGGCAACGTCACACATCGACCATGTACCCAATCACGGCATAATTCACATTGTAGCATAAAACTAGTAAGTCCCGGTTGTCTACATATACAATAAACAATTTTCTCTTGATTTTTTGCTCGTGATTTTCGCATATTTGTATTGCGTAAAAATTGCATCAATGAAACTTCAGCTTCAACAAAACGATTATACACTAAATGATACATTTGTTCCCAATTAGTTAGATTTGAAATTTTAGCAAATTCCTAAAATACACCAAAACAGAAAGAGAAACAATTAAACAACAAAGAAAATGATTAATTGTTGATTGAAAGAGTACAGATAAAAATATTTAAACATATTTGAAAATGATTATTTTATTAAAATTCGAACGTTTTTTGAAAATAACTTTATTTTCATCATAAGTTGTAATTGACTGAATAAATTTAAGCTTTAAACTGATAAAAAAAATGTATACAAGGTTTTTGTAATCGATAGACTTGTGTATCGTATAAGTACAACCTAATTCGTTATTCTGTCAGCTACACACTAGTGCTGGGATGAGTAAAACTTGAAGGTACTAAGCTGAATCACATATGAGAATGAAACAACTGTTTAGCGTTAACTATCTTTCAATGGTACGCTAAATGAGATAGATCTATCTGTGATGAGTACTATTTACAAACTAAGCCAATATCCAAAACAAAAAACTTCTTCAAACAATAAAGTATATGTGTCACAACATTTACTACACTTATAACAAGAAACAATTCAACCATATTTCTCATCAATCAATTAAGACTAGTAGTTGTAAGGAAAAATTACTTGAAAATGTTTATTCAGTTTAATTAAACTATAAGAAAGTAAAATAATCAGTATTTAACTCAAATTATGCCTTCAATATGCATAAACATGAAAAGTTAAAGAATAACAATGAATAAAAATGAAGACCGAATTCAGTTTTTCAAGTAAATATCATCACTTAAATTACCAGTCTATTGACTACAATCAGATAACATATTCAATATAATTTTAATATAACTAATAATAAGAATGACTGACATAAAATTAAGAGAAAGAAATCTTTTCAAAATGATATATATAGTTTATTATATAAAATAGTCAGTCAGTCAGTCAGTCAGTTACAACGTAGAACTTCGTACGCACGTACATCAGTTCAGGTTGCCATACCCCATCAACATAGGGACGCATTTGTAAGTTCAAATCCCATAGTAGTAGAGGTAGTAGAAGTATTAGAAGTAATCGGGGAGATTAAGATTCGAAAATATTATTCAAGAAGTATAATTCAGTGAGATAACTTTAGAAAGTGAAAAAGGGAGATGATGGAGAACTCAGAAGGTTAGAATTTGAGAGAACACAAAGAGTGGATGCACCTGCGCTATTGCAAACGATTTTGAGTCATGTCGTTTAAGATCTCTAACCATTGGTGACTTTCATCTCGCGGACCCCAACCAGGTAGCCTACATCTATCAACATGACTTAATCCAGTTATCAGTGACTTCATGGATTTGTGCCAAGTTTTGGTTTGGCTGCCCTTAGTTTTCATCAAACCTACTCCTACTACACTACAAAACATTACTCGTCGAGTCAGTCGGTGGTTGGGCATACGTAGCACATATCCCAACCTTCTCAATTGATAAAGTTTCAATGCTTCATTTATTGATTTGCCATCCTTACCTAGAACTCGTTTCCTAACTATAGCATTACTTACTCGGTTGTCTCGGAACATACGAGCAATTTTCCGAAGACATCTATAATCGAATACTAATAACTTACGGATATCCTCAACCCTCATCGGCCATCTTTCGCATCCATATAATAGGACCGAGCGAACTGCTGGGCAGTAGACTCGGCCTCTGGTTAGCGAACGGATATCTCGGCTGCGCCATGGGTGACGCAATTTGGCAAAAGCCAATTGAGCTTTCTGTATCCGTGCTGAGATAGAAATTTTCAGATAACTCAAAAATTGATAAAATTGTATGCTAACATTTATACACAAAACAATCATCATGAGCTAAATCATTTTGTTTCAACTCATCGGGACCATTTTCTAAATAGATTATATTCATTATATACAGTAATAAAACCAACATATTCCTTTTGATTTACACTAAAATAATAAACTATAATACACTTACTTGTACATTATCTTTACATAATGATTTATATGTTAATGATTGAAAATGTGGACTACGTGTATGCCGTTTATATGTAACAGGTGGACAATTATTAACATCTAAATTTAAATTATTTCTATATGAATCTGGTATAACATCAGGACCACCATCTAAACGAATAAGCCATTCTAATGCAGATGCTGATCTAGGCAATAGAACTTCTAGTAAACTTCGTGTTGATTGTGGTCGTATAAATAATTTTGATAATTTCTCATGAAATTTATTCAATTCTGATAGCTAGAAAGAAAAAAAGAAAAATTAAAAGAATGTTAAAAAGTTGGCAATAATAGCCAGAGTTATTTTCATATTTCAAAATGGGCAATAGATATTAATAATAGTAGTAGTACCGAAATAAATACAATTTAGTCTCAAACTAAAATTACTTACGTTCGTTTTTTACAGGGAAACAAAAGCAGAAAAAACTTTCAATTCAGTTTTTATAAGATAATCACATGTAATCATCTCGCCTACTTCACAACACTTAACAATCAATCAATCATTCAACTACCACCTTATACCTTATATTTATACATTAGAGACACCATAGAGTTACAATCAGAATAACACAGATTCATACGTCCTATATGAAACTCACAAAGACGATCTACAACTAAAAACGACAGTCCAAGATGCGAAACTGATATTATATATATACAGTAATCATAACAATTTATGAGTTAAAAGAATATCAATAATTGTGATGACATAGAAAAGCGTCCTAAAGAAAATCAATCGATAAATTCTTCTTAAACTAATGAAACAACTGACCAAGTTTGAATCTTCTCCGAGTTCTAGTGGGAAGAGGTGACCAGTGAAGTTCAACCTGTTCGGGTGTAGACAGTAACTACCGAAGACTGTGTTATGAGGTTGCGCAACTCCGTGAGTTGATCGAAGTTAGACATTAACACCGTTAGATACCGGCTCAGTGGTCCGATGGTTAGGCGTTCGCCTACAAGTTTGATGTATGTTTTTTTTCTTTCTTTATTCTTACATCTTTCCAACGCATCAGTCATTTTAAATTGTTTGTATTTCATTGTTGAATTATCAATCAATCAATCAATAGCAACGTAGAACTTCGTACGTACGTACGTACATCAATTCATGTTGCCATATCACATTAGCACAGAGATGTAATTGTCAATTCAAATCCAATAGTAGTTGAGGTTTAATTATATCATAAACATGCTCTTAGATATAACCTTATCCTCGTTTGCTGACTTAGAATATGCCGATAACATAGTTCTATTTGGCGAAGACGTTGACAAAATGCAGAGTCTTCTGACTACCCTAAGTAACAAGGCAAGCATGTTCGGGATGCGGTTCCCCCCCCCCGCGAAATCTAAAATATTGCTTCAAGATTGGGTTGCATCAGCATCTGAACTAGTGATAGGGAGTGAATTTGTCGAATGTGTAGACTGCTTCACTTATCTTGGGAGTTTCATCAGTGCTGATGGCCTGGTGACTGACAAAATCTCAGCACGGATACAGAAGACTCGATTAGCTTTTGCCAACCTGCGTCACTTATGACGCAGGCGAGATATCTGCCTGATGACTAAAGGACAAGTGTACTGCACAGCTGAGTGTATTTCCAAATCTAGTTTATTAGTGTCATTATGATTTTATTTGTTTACATACACTTGTTTACATGCACCGATCTTTTGTGAATCATTTATTCAGTTGGGATTAATGACCGACAGTAAACTTGCAATATATCAGATTAAAATATATTTCAAGTGTACATAGCGTACTGTAACTTATTAGAAACTATCATGAACAGACGCTAAAAATCGACTAACGTGAAAGGTAGTCAGCCATTGTTAACGTAGTCAGTCAGTCCGTCTGTCCTTTAGAAACGACATAGAACCTGGTTAAAGTTACCTCGCCATATCACAATTTAAGAATGTATACAAGTGATTGTTCATAAATACATAAGTTTAAAATTACAATTATAATAATTACACACTTAACGAGCCCCGTAAAAACAAATACACGCTGATATTACATCTTAAACATAGTTATTAGTGGATAAACTTTTAAAATTAACTCTATTATATATATATAAATATAAACATAATATAAAACACTTTACCAATGTCCTGATAGAATCATTTTGTGGAAATTGTATAACACAATCTTCTATACTATCTTCTAATGTATTAAAATAAGATTGCCAATTGACTGGTGTGGAATTCACTGAGCCTAAACCAATTTCATCTAATAGTTCTTGATACACTGTAGCATGGTTATCGCTGTCGACAGGATTTGCCTCTTCCTTGTCTTCTTCTTCGTCTTCTACTTTTTTATTGGTTTTCATTTGTTGAAAAACATTCTCTTTAAATTCAATCAATGATGAAGATGATGATGATAATGAAATATTCTGCAAGAGTAATTCTGCAAGCAATTGAAATTGTTTCTCACATTTCTCTGCTTTGTCACAGATTACTTGAACATCAGATATATTAGTTAATTCAATTGGTAATTGTTTAGCTATGAGTAATTGTTGTTTAACTATACTCAAAGATAAACTACCAGGTCTACAAGAAAATAAAGAAACAAATTAACAATCGATATAAAGAATGATAAATATTATATTGTATTTTGTGGGGCAATTATACACAATCAATGATAGAGAACATAATCTCACATGCTCATGACAAAAGTTAGACATTAACACCATTAGATACCAGCTCAATGGTACAGAGGTTAGGCGTTCGCGTACAAGACTGAAAAGTCTTCGGTTCGAATCCTGCGAGGTGCAGGAGTAGTGGATGCGCACTGCCACTGATGGGTGCCATACTAGGACGAAACGGCCGTTCAGTGCTTCCATGTTTCCAATGGTTGTCTAACATTGATCGATTCATGATTTCAAATGTGTAACTTAACAATCTTCACAACTCCGTAATGAAATGTGATTATCACAAATGATAAAAGTCTACTCAACCAATCACATTCTGATGTGTACCGATAATTCTCCTATCCCCATCCTAACAGATTGTTAAGTGATAGATATCTTTTTTTATCCCCTTTTACTCTGGCCTGAAATGAATTCGGAAATGATAGCGATCGTCCAGAGTAACATAATAGAGAATAATTAGTATAAAGACAATCAAATAAGAAGACAACAACATTGGCAGAACCAGTGATTACAGAAATGAAAATTTTATAAGACAGAGTCAATGGACGGAATTACTAAATATATAATTTGGAATCTTTTCAATAACCAATATCCAACCATGTCAAAAAGTAAACATATTAACACTATGCAGTGATGTATAAGGATTTCAGTATTCAATTTTTAAATTAGTCATGCAGAGGTTTATATAACTCAAACACAAGAGTTAACAAATGATATAAGCTCCTCGCTTGGATGCAAAATACTAGTTTAAAAACAATTACATAGATATTGAGTTATACCGACATTTATAAGTACAGAAAATTGTTACTCAACTCAGGAGTACAACAGTTTAATCTAGAAACTATGATAATTGTAAAGTGAATAGGCTTCAAAAAAATTTCTACACGTGAAAACAATATTGTCATTTTAATGCCTAACAAGATAAATTTTAATCAGTAAAAACAATAAAAAAAATATTATTATTATTATTATTATTAACACATACTTAGCTTGAATAATTTCATTTAAACTTTCTTCCATTAACTTTACTGTGGATATAGTTTCTAACAAATGTCGACTTTGAATAGTTAATGCTGTATCTAATAAACTATGCGATGAAAAGTTATATGATGAATAGGCATTTTCTGGAATATTCATTACATAAGCAATAGCTGAAGCTACTTGACTACCTTGAAGTTGTAAATCGCATAGATGACTTAATGTTGGCTTGTTAGTAGTGGTTGTTATAGGAATTAATTCGTTAACAGTAGAATTGTTTTCAATTTTGTCGTGAATAGAATTCGATTTATAGTTCAATGCTTTGTCAACTCTCTCTAACCATTGTAGACATTCGTGAACCTTGAAGGAAATGAGAAAAGCAGGTCAGATATATATATATATATATATATATATATATATATGTCTTTTGGTTAAAAGCGAACCGGTGATAGCCATGAATAAAATTCATTGAGCTATCAAATAACAGACAATAATATTAGCTAATTAATCATAAATACATGGAAATATATTATTAACAGTTTAATTCTAGCAAATATAAAGTCGGTATTTTTAGTTAGTTCACATAAATTAAATCAATTTATGCCACATTCATCGACAACAAAGCTGACTAACATGTAACGATAGATACATTGTTGATAGGAGTTGATTTCTGTCTGCTGCAACATTACACTTTCACTGACATTATTGAAAAAACTGTCATAAGCATCTAATTCATAGACAAATGAACAATAAGTTAATCATTTCACAACCCGTACGGAAAGCTTTATAGTTGAACATTCAAGTTCGAAGAATACAGTATCAATAAATACCTTTATCTAAGTAACATGTATATATTCTCCAAAATTTCATAATGAAGAGAAAAACTTATGACAACTTAATATTTTGATATATCAACCTACCAATTAAAACTAAGGTCAATAACTCATTTTATTTATCAACAGTAAACTTTTAATGGAATATTTTTTATAATGGACTTAATTATTAAGTAATGTGTTGAGATGGATATTATATATATATTTTTTTTTTTGAAACCATGAATCGGTCAATGTTAGACCACCATTAGAAACCTGGAAGCACTGGACGGACGTTTCGTTCTCATATGAGACTCCTCAGCAGTTTCAAAAATGTATAACTTAACAATCTTCACAACCCCGTAATGTAAATTACCTGTGCTCACTAGTCACTAGCTCCGTGAGGAATCTCCTCCGAATTCTAGTGGGAAGACGTGACCAGTGAAGTTCAACCTGTTCAGGTGTAGACAGTAACTACCGAAGTCTGTGTATGAGGTTGCGCAAGACCGTGAATTGATCAAGTTAGAAATTAACACTGTTAGATACCGGGCCCATTGGTCCGATGGTTAGGCGTCCGCATGCACGACCGAAAGGTCCTGGGTTCGAATCCTGCGGGTGCAGGAGTCGTGCATGCGCACTGCTGAGGAGTCTCATACCAGGACGAAACGGCCGTCCAATGCTTCCATGTTTCTATTGGTGGTCTTACATTGATTGATTTATGGTTTCAAAAATGTGTAACTTAACAATCTTCACAACCCCGGAATGTATATATATATATATATATATATATATATATATATATATATATATACGAAACACTTCTTATTGTAAATCTAGTTCAACTAACTGTATGTATTCATTTCTTACTAAATGAATTACTTCTGTCCTTAAATATCTATGAATGATAATTAGCCAATAAATACAGTTACTATAATTTCAAATTAATATCAACATGTGATGACTATACAGTCGTACATCACTAAAAAATAACTATTGAACTAAACTTACTCTTTTCAACTGACTTAATTCCGGTAGTTCAATATCGATTGCATTGCCAACGTTGATATATTCTTCAACTTTTATGACAGACGGTAATACTGATCGAAGATATGATTCTATTTTAAGTGGATCATTTAAACTACTTTTATCATTAGTAGTAGTAATGTCGATATTAGATGAAGAAATAAGACAATTATCACCATTGTAATTAAAAACAGATTTCTTGTTTAAATTTGTTAACAAATCACGCACTTCCTTTCTCCATCTAGTAATATGATCAGCAAATTCTTGTAGTTCTTTGTATTCCGGTAAGACAATTGGTAAATTTGAAGCCAATTTCACTAAACTAGCGAATTCATTTAATGTTAGCTAAATCGAAAGTTCATGGAATAAAATAAAACGATAATGAATTCTTGTGAAAATCCTCACTGAACACTTTCTTTACTCATACACAAGCATGTACATGATAATAAAAATAATAATAATTAACACTTAATAACAGAAATGTTAAGTCTTAAATTGGTACAATAGATTATTTACACAGTTTTATCACAAAAACAATGAAGTTTTTATCTGCATGAGCTGTACATTTTATTCTATAGATTATATGTCATTACACTATACAACTTCTTCAAAAACATTTGGGATTTATTTATTTATTTTAAAAAAAGGACACAAATAAATCACTATCAATTTTATTATATGTATACAGTTCACTAATTACTTTAGTTAATAAATTTTAAGCACAAACAAACAAGAACGCTTGATAATGATAATCAAATCATATTGAATAGTTAGTTAGTTTATGTTTAGGTATTCATTCATCAAATATTCTAAAGAAATTATTTTGTAAGTCTAATTCTATTAGTCAATATATTTAAGGTTGTTCTAAACTATCAAGTTCACATACTTTTAAATGTTCTTTCCTATTGGTTGTAGTATTCATGTATATCTGCATTGTCTGTAAAGTTTTATGCTCCTTTTCTTCTTCTTCTGTACAAAACCTCATATTTTCTGAGTGCTTGTAGAATGCACTTTCTGCGCCATATCAAAAGACTTGTTGATACCGTTAGTGGGGGCTTGGGACGTTCGGATAAGAGTAACCTATCGTGTCAATGGATCGATCACTTGTCTTAGCTCTCGTTTACCGACTAAGGTGAACTCGTAATAGTTCAAGCATATTATCAACTGACAAGCATAACAGTTTAAATATGAAATTTTCTATTAAAAATTACCAAGATGTGTAACAATTATTGTGAATAAAACTAGTGTATGATTATGAAACGTTTAATACTACTTTAATAAGTCAAAATCTTAATAAATAAACTTACTTTCGAAATAAAAGGACCTTTTGATACAGACGATTTTATTCGAGTTCCATTGGAACTTGTGCCATGAGAAGTGGTACTTCTTGATCGAAGTCTACGATTATTGTTAGTCTTATGGCAGTTGGCGCCTAATGACACCTTTGTTTGTTCATATTGATCAGCCTCTTCTTTTTGTTCGAACCTATCTGCATAATTGTCATCATCATCATCATCATCGTTATCATCATCGTGAACACTACTTTTACTTATTCTTCGACTACTTCTACTAAATGAAGTATCAGTAGAATGTCGTGAATCTTCATTACTACTTTCATCATCAGTTGTTTCGGAATTCGATCTACTAGATGTTGAAGTGTGATGCAATAATACATCATGGACAGTTTGATCAGTGCTTTGTTTTATTTCTTCTTTGAATTCAGAAGCCTCATCATCATCATCATCGACATCTTCCATATCATGATTATCATTGTCATCATCATCGTCTTCTTCTTCTTCTTCTTCTTCATGTCCTGAATCGGTCAATTCACATTTCAACGTTTTCATTTCAATCTCTTGAGTGGTTTTCATTAATTCATCACTGGCATTTTTATAACTGGTAATTAATTTGCGAACAACCGATGAACATTCACTAATTGTATGCACCACATGATTTAAACGTTCTACTAATACACTGGGATATTGTCGTGTTCGACCAAGTTTTAAAAGTCTCTATATAAAATATTATATCCAATAATTATAATATTATCAGGAACATGATTGTTATGAAAATACAACAACTGAACAATTAATATATATATATGTATACACACACAAACGATATGTAGTTAACAACAACACTTAACAGCAACTGTGTTTAAATGTGTAACCTGCATCACTACAAATGATTTTAAACCATGCCATTCAAAGTCTCCAACCATCGGTTTTACTTTCGTCTCACGGACCCCAGCCAGGGTAAGTCTACACCCCTGCAATATGGCTGAATCCACTTGTAAATAACTTTACAAATTTGTGTCATGTTTTGGTCTGGCCGCCCCTAGCTTTTTCTTCTTCCAACCTACTCCCCTCCTATACCTCAAAAAATATTGCTCGTCGGGGCGGTCGGTGGTTGGCACATGTGTTACGCATGACCAGCCACCTCAAATGATGAAGATTCATCACTTAATCTATTGATCTGCCATCTTGACCTAGTACCACCCAATTCTTAACACATAGAATTGCCTTAATCATTTTCTTCATTTTCCTAGAAATGCGAGAAAATCAATAAAACACTTCTTTTAGTTTTCATCTAATTACCGTACAACAATACATATGAATTCTTTTGTATTCTTAGTAATTCCGATTTTTAAAGCTATCATACTATTTCTTATCCAAATACAAATAAAACAATTTATTGCTTTATTTAATTGATCAATATTCAATAGAGGAGCTAAAAATCTTGATCATAAAATAATGATATCAAATTAATATTTATATATATATTCTTTATGATGATTATTATTATTATTCTTAAAGTACTAATATAAATTATGAAGTGATTGGAAATAAATTATAAAAATAAAATGTAATCATGCCCTAAATTTCAGTTTTGATTATTTGAAACAAATATATGTATATATTAGATTAAATACACTAAATAATAAACAAATCTAAATGTAATGTGAAGAATTATGGGCTAGAAGTAGATTTTTTGATTCAACTTTTAAAAGATGATTATTATTGAAAGAAAATTCCCACTGTCAAGTGTGTATGATAGGTAGCTTTGCTACTTAACAACTCATCAAAGTCACAAGATGAAAATTTGTCTGTTCTTATGGTACTCTTTAAATGAATACAAGTAAAATTAAAGCAGGACGAATCATAAAAGTGGTTATTCATCGTTTATAAGAAAAAACACAATAACAAGATGATAAGGAGAAATAAACAGGTAAACTTAATGAATGAGAAATAATTACTACCAATAATCATAAATAACTAGATAATAACAATAAAGGAGACAAATTTAAATCAGAAATAAGTCAAAATGTATCTAGAATAAAGACATCAACAGGCAGTCAATGCATTTAAATCATTTGAACAGATGTGTTATGTGTTTACTCTAAATTTTCAACAACTGATTTTAACTAAATGCTAATCACTACGTTTTACGCAGCTCAGACCAAAAGACAATAACCCTGTTAAACGTTTTTTTTTAAAAAAAAATACTATTTTTACTACACCCTGTAGTAAAAATTCTTTGGATGTTTGGATAAATGATGCACTTAATATGCATAGTTGGAGGCTCATAGTTTTACTAAATAATTATTCACCTTTAAATTCTGCACACCTCCCACTATTTACGATCTTGCTATGTTTTTTAATACCTTTGGTTAACTAATGATTGCATAGTTCAACATTTATTGTTTTTCAACTAGTTCCAAGCAATAAAGCACTGTTGTTTAATGATGTTAGAATTTTTTTCTCCGAGCAAACAAATTTATTAGTTTAAGTTCCCAGCACTGTCTCGACTAGCGATGTTATGTGGTGTACGAGTAGGTTGGAAGAAAGCTAGGGGCAGTCACACCAAAACATAGCACAAATCCATGAAGTCACTCACAGGTGGATTGAGTCATGTTGGTAGATGTAGGCTACCTGCTTGGGGTCCGCCAGACCATTGTAACTGATGCTTAGAGACTTTGAATGACATGGTTCAAAATCGTTTGCAATGGCCCAGGTGCATCCACACTTTGTGTTCTCCGAATTCCTCATCACCTCGATCTTTTTCTTCTCAAATTCATTTCACTGAATTATACTTCTTGGATAATGTCTTCGAATCCTAATCTTCTTTACTGCTAATACTTCTACTACCTCTACTACTATGTGATTTGAATTGACAATTTCATTTCTGTGTGCTAATGTGGTGTGGCAACTTGAACTGATGAACGTAAGTACGAAGTCCTAAGTTGTAACTCACTGACTGAATGACACCAGCACAGCCAGATGAGATTATCAATACAAATATCTGAGTAGCAGAAGTAGTAACAGTATTACTGGTAGTACAAAAGACTAGGTATACATAATGTCTCCAAAAGAGAGAACAGATTCACAAAATGAAACTCAAGATCTGAAGAAAAACAAAGAGTGGGTTCACCAGTGCCACTGTGACCGATTCTCAGCTACATCACACAATGTCTCTAGTTATTGGTTACCATAATCGCACAAACCTTAATCAAATAGTTTGAACTAACAAACACAGCTCAGTCCAACTGTCAATGACTTCATGGATTGATGCTTGCTGGGTTACCTTTACTTTTTACCATCTAGATGATTCAACAAGATGTTCTTTTTGTCTGTTTTAACACTCCAATAATGTCAATTAATCGCGTAACCTATTCAGACGCACATATAAAAAGTTTACGACCTATCGATTTCCAGGGCAGAAAAAAAATACAATCGGAAACATTGCAGTTGCTGGCAATATTCATTAAAATAATGAACGTTAATTAGATGTTAATATTTAAACTGCTAGCTTCCGAATACCGATCACTAACTGGCAAAATAGACTATCTTCAATCGCTACTAGGTCTAAACATATATTATAATAATGACTTGATAACAACTCAAGACAATGGTTGAAAGATTTATACAATAATTGTTTAGTACAACTAAGTGGTTTCAATATTTATGATCAGGATCAACCAAGCAATAAAGTGTGGCAATGGTGTAGCTACATTTGTAAATGGGAACTACAATTGATCTAATTTCACATGTTCTGAGTTTTCAAACGACTTTATCTATTTTGTTTAAGCTTAAGATACTATTCCTAACACTTGAACAGGTAGATTAATAACGCTGGATGGCAGCCAGAGATTGGGTCGTGAGTATCCGCCCCTGAGGAGCCATGTACTAGTACAAAACAACCATTTAGTGCATCTAGTTTTTCAATGGTAGTCTAATTTAGATCAATTCGTGATTTAAAAGCTAAAAAATATCCCACAATCTGTACAAAAACCTATACTAATGAAAATTAAATAGACATTTACACTAAAATGAAATCATTTTACAACTTACATTTAAATCGGACAAGGTTAATTTTTGATACTGTTCTTGTTCAATTTTCAAAGATACTGACGATGAAGGCTTTGTATCCACTGATATTAAGCATAAATAAAATAATGATGATAATCATATTAAAGACGTTATATAGTTTGAAAATGAGAGAATCTTATGTATATATCATTGAATGTAATCTAATTAATAACAATTTTTATTGTAAAATCACAAGGGAATATAAATAGTTGAATCAAGTATTCTCATTAATTCAAGTAGGTTTGATTGTTAAATGTTTAGATTTTAACTCATACATACAAAACTACTACTAATCATGTCATTCATATATGAGATAAATCAGAACAAAAAAATCTGTTGCACGTGTTTGGATTATTAACCCAGACAAAACTAGTAATAATCGTGTACAAATGCATAAATTAAAATTACGTACTGTGCCACATAATCCAATAGTTCAGGAGCAAGTTATGTAAAAAACATCAGAGTATCTGTTACGTTCGTCACTAGGTACGCTTGAAGCTATTACGAGTTCACCTTAGTCGATAAACGGGAACCAGACAATTACCAGCGTCCAAGTAGGCTACCTTGAATCCCAAACTGTAAAACAGAAGTCTTGATAAGCGCAGAAAGTATATTCTACAACACCCAGCAATCACAATGCAATCAAGCATACAAATCTCGTTTATTTATACATCATAGAAACGTCCTTGGTACAGTCACAAAAATAGCACACTAAAATACACAGTAACCAATCACAACCAAGGATTTTCCCAGTGGGAAATGAAATCTCTAGGTCAACTGATCAGCCCATGCTCGGAAACGTAAAATCCAAAATTAGGGCATTTATCAAGCGAGTTCTGGGGATCGAACATCCCCAACATTCCTCTCCTTTTTAATAGCGTGTGCTCCTGGGATCGACTTGCATCTTGACTGTCGCTCGCCGCTGTCCGAGATGATACCTTCTGGAACGGAGAACAGCTTGCTGCTGAGTTTCTTCTCGTGGTGGGGCTGCCGGTAGGTTGAAGGTATCAAGCAGGAGGTCAAGGGGAAGGTTTTCTGCTCTTGATGGGCGATATGTGGCTAGCCGTTTGCGTATCTGATTTCAATGACGTGACTATTTATCACCTCCGACCTCTACTCCGTACATAACTCGCCCAAATCTTCTGACCACTCGCGTTTCTGCCCAAGGACTATGGTGCGTTCTGTAGTCACGAGCAAACACAGGGTATCCCAATTCGTGAGAGAATTGTCTTTGCTACTTTGTCTCTACGTGAGGTCGGTGCATTAATCGGATGCATCAGGCTGTGGATCGTTTTCAGTCTTCTTCCCATCAGGATTTCTGCTGGGGACTTTTGCTCCGGTAACAACTCATTTGGTGTTGTTCGATAGACGTACAAGAAATTTCGTAACGCATCGGCTGGTGTCCCCTCCCCCTCCCCAACAGTATCATCTGAAATATTTCTCTTTATATTCTTTTACTGTAATGAAATATAGCCTATGAAGGTTGAGCCAAAAGGTAATTTAGTAAAATTTGATCAAAGATACCTTTGAAGCAGGATTTACGCGCGGTGGGAAAAATAAATGATGCTGATATGAGAAGCAAACTACTAAGTAACGTCTATAAATAGTTTGATACGATTCCTAACTCATATAGAATTAGGCCAGAGATGTTTACACTGATTGATCATTAAGTATTAACAAATGTCATGTTGTCTAGTCGCCAGTACTTTTTAAATTCTATTAAGCAGGTAGAAATATTTCTACTTATGCTATGACGGGTACATATCTCATAAGGAGTGCCAGTCTCGGCAAGATGACAAACAAACCATGTTGACAATACCCAAAAAACCACAGAGCTAATGTAAAGGACTTTATGGTCGCCCGTAACCACTAAAATACAACATTATGATGTCAAGTAACTACTACATATCACATTAAATCTTACCCAGATTTAGAACAGAAACAAATTATTATTATTATTATTATAAAACGATGAGTAAACAAAAAATGATTTATGAAACAATAAAACTACACTGTAATGGAATAAACAATACTTTCAAATATTACTTTTTATTAAATAAATAAACTAAAGTCGATAATTTTAAACAATGGTGTTTGGAACAATGATTTAAACAGCCTAACATAATCACCGAAAGGATTTAATTATAGTTTTAACAGATGCTTAGCTGAAAGAGATTGTATAGTCAACATTACTGAGCTTTGTAGACATCTAATGAAGACTAGAAAGCAATAAATAGATAATTCGTCCTAGTATGAGATACACCAGTAGTGAATACTCACCACTTTACTGAGGATTGAACTGATGATCACTTATGCTGGCTTGAAAGTTCCAAGTGAGGGCTTGTCTTAAGATGCAGTTAGGTGCTTTCCGCAGTGTGTCCTATCCACTTCCAGCGCCTCTTCCTCATTTCCTCCTCCACTGCAACCTGGTTTGTTTTTCCGCACAATAGGTTGTTGTTGATGGTGTCTGGCTAATGAATCAAATTATTTTGCGTAGACAACTGTTAATAAACACTTGTATCTTCTGGATGATGGCTTTGGTAGTTCTCCAAGTTTCCGCTCCATATCGTAGAACTGTCTTGACATTTGTATTGAAAATCCTGATTTTGATGTTGATTGATAGTTGTTTTGAGTTCCAGATATTTTTCAACTGTAGAAATGCAGCCCTTGCTTTGCCAATCCGTGCATCAAATCCACCTTGATTATCGACGGTGCGGCCAAGATATGTAAAGGCGTTAACGTCCTCTAAGCCATCTCCATCAAGCGTGATTTGGTTGGTGCATGCTGTGTTGTATCGCAGAATCTTGCTTTGCCTTTTATGTATGTTGAAACCTGCTGCTACACTGGTCGTCTTCTCTTGCAGTTGTTGTTGCGTGTGCAATAGAAGAGCCAGATCATCTGCGAAGTCCAGATTGTCCAGCTGCATCCTGATTGTCTACTGTATACCTTGCTTCCCTCCAGAAGTTGATGTCTTCATAATCCAGTCGATCACCAGGAGAAATAAAAAATGGTCAGAGTAAGCAACCTTGCCTGACATCGGTCTTTACCTCAAATGAGTCTGTCAGCTATCCTCCGTGCACTAAACTACAAAATTCATGCATATCCAGAAACCCCTCTATCCCATACAGTAGAGGTTTATGACCAAAAACTATCGTCATCAAACATGAATAGGAGAAAATGTATGAAAACTATAAAGAACCAGAGTAATAACACTAATAATAATAATCATCTTTCTTACCGGTAAAATGTTCATCTTTATTGTCAACATTTTCAATTTTACTCTCAACAATAATATCCTTATGATCATTTTCTTTAGTATTATTAACACTTGTAATAACATGATCATGATCATTATTATTATTATTATTATTATTATTATTATTATTATTATTATCACATATGGATACTTTTAAATGATTATTGAATTTCAATAAATCTTCTTTGTGTGTTGAATCATGGCAAAATTCAATGTGATTCGTTTTATTATTAGTAGTAGTAGTATTATTATTATCAGTAGTATTGGTAGTAGTAGTAGTAGTTTCTGTTGCTATTGTTGTTGTAAGCGTAGATGATAATTTTATTGTATCAACAGAATTTTGTATTGCACCAAATACATCATTTTCAAGTTGACTTTTCCATTGTTCAAACTCAATTAATTTTGCATGGATTTTTTCTTTGAATTCAGTTAATTCATCTAAATCATAACGATAGCGCATAACTTGATTATCACGAGAACAACATGTACGTATTTGATAATGAGCTAAACAAACCATACCTAAGAAAAGTTTGAACAGAAGTAAGAAATAAAACAACGGTGAAATATTGATTTTACTCACCTAAAATGATATGAATTCGAAGAATATGCTACCAGGATTTTTAGATGCCCCTTACCGACTGTGTGTAACAGGCACAAATAAATATATGACTAGTCGTAAATAAATATCATCGCAACTTACTAATCAAAAACGTTATATGGAGTAGGACAAAATGATGCTCAATAATATTTATTTCTCAATATACTTTCGGTTGCATTCATTGGTATATTAGGTGGGAAATATCAATGTACCTTATTATTATATCACCAAAAAGTTTACATCAGACACTAGCATAAGAAAATTAACTCAAGCATTCAGGTTAGGCAACTATGTAACTTTTTTACGGTAGATTAAACACTTTTGTAGATGAATGCTGAAAAATCATTCACATTTCGATGGGTGTTACTCATTCATTGAAATCTCAGATTCCTGCCCAATAGAATTAAAAACTTTGCTTTCAAAGTCAGTTTACTTTTTACAAAATCTCGGGTGAATAAGTGTCCAAGCGCGCAGATTTTTGAAAGCGATATACCTGTTTGGTGCTGAAACAGATTAGACTAGATCTGTTTGTTGAGAGTTAAACGTCAGTTTCAGTATAACTATTCCAGCTAAAAATGACAAACGTATCACAAACTCAGGCATTCACCATCTTCAATCTACATACATTCAATATCCTACCAGATTATCAAGAAACGATAGTTCTGTAGTAAAAAGACGAACGGAGAGCAAACTACTTGGATAACTATAGTTCCTGCTTTTGAAATGGCTTTAAATACACAAATGAAACTGTTCATAGTAATGTATAGATGAACATTGAAGTACAATCAGTCAGTCAGTTGCAACGTAGAACTTCGTACGTATGTACATAAGTTCATGTTGCCATACCACATTATTAGCACAGAGACGCAAATGTCAAATCAAATCCCATAGTGATAAAGATAGTAGAGGTATTAATGTTATAATAAAGAAGACTAGGGTTTAAGATATTATACAAAAAATATAATTCAGTGAGATAAGGTTAGAAAGACAAAGGTAGAGGTGCTGGCTAATCCAGAAGATTAGGATTTGAGAGAGCTCAAAGAGTGGATGCACCTGCGCCATTGCAAACGATTCTCAACCATGTCGTTCAAGGTCTCTAACCATTGATGACTTTCGTCTCGCGGACCCCAACCAGGTAGTCTACATCTACCAACATGACTCAGTCCACTTGTCAGTGACTTCATGGATTTCTGCCATGTTTTGGTCTGGCCGCCCCTAGCTTTCTTCCAACCTACTCCTACACCACAAAACATAGCTCGTCGAGGCAGTCGGTGGTTAGCCATACGTAACACATGTCCCAACCACCTCAACTCATGAAGTTTCACCACTTCATCGATTGATCTGCCATCCTTACCTAGTACTCGTTTCCTAACGACAGCATTGCTCACTCGGCTGTCCCACGATATACGAGCAATGCTTCTTAAACATCTATGATCGAATACTAGTAACCTACGAATATCTTCTACTCTTAACGGCCATGTTTCACAGCACACGAGACAAAATTGAAGTACAATAAAGTTATTCGTTAAATTTCTTACTTTCTGAACATTTGCACCCCAATGATGACAGATAAAGTGTTGTCCGACACAAATCACATTCTCTTTTCTCATCCTCGGAATTTTCAAAAACCATTCGCTCTGTAAGTCTAACACCAATCTTTGCCAAATGACGTCTCAAACTACGTTCAGTAGTAAGTAAATCACTTAACTGTTTTGTGATAACCTTTAGGAATTCCACACTGAGAGGTTCAACAGACTTAGCCATACGACACAGTAATTCTGCATGTGAAAAAACTGGGGTTCTATGTAGAAGTGCATAGTGCTCAATACAATTTAGTCCATATTCAAGCTAAAATAAATTAAAACAAGATTGAATATTAACGAAGAACGTTTCAAGTAAAATGCAACATATTGGAGTTTTTTTTACAACAGTTTATTTAGAATACGACCAAAGGATCACTAATTTTTATACAGTAAAATAAATTTAACATTCCAATTAGAAGAGTGTACACTAAATAACTTCTTACATTCAATAAACAAAGTTTTTTTTTAATTTTACAAATTATGTCTACAGTAAGCAACATTTATATTATACTTGTTCATTTATCACAGTGAATCACGTGTTTGAAAATAGATGACACAAACAGAGCTATCAGAATACAAGTACACTGAGTTCATTTTAACTTTTGGTTTGGGAATGAGAAGGAAATGTCGACATAACATTTGACCAAATAAAGAATGCGTATTAGATTAATTAACTGAACATCTAAATTTCTTAAAGAAACCAAAGATAATAACTTTAACTCTAGTAACTATTATTCAGTAGGAGTAAGTTATTTACAACCTTATTAGAATACATAATCAAATAAAGTACGAGATATATCCAAACTTCTAAGTGATAGTCATTATAATACAAGTTAACGTTTTAGTACGACCTTAGCAAGACAACAACACATCAAACGCATATGGTTTGCTAGAAATTTGGCTCTTTCTGTTCTACACACTCAACAAATTTATATTTTCCCTGAAAGCATTAAATACAAAGTAAGAAGGAAGTTTTGTTATCTTTACCCAATCTGCAGGGCAAAAGTTAACTGCTTCTGCAAAGTTAAATCCTTGGTTGAAACCAGCATGAAAAGCGCGAGGAAACGTCACTACAAATTCACCAACCATTTGATCAGTACGATAAACAGGGACACCATGTGCTTGGAGTCTAGACGGTGAGACCATTGTAGTCATATGATGAAGTAAATCTGGGGAGTTGACAAATAATTCAGGGACCTCAGAACGCATAGCCAATTCGAAAGCATCAGCGTAATTTGTTGGAACTCCATACCACGTTTTCGGTTCACCCCTAAAATATTCACAGTAAGCATAACAAAATACTCGGATGCAGTAAATATAGAATGTTAGTAAATCAGATGACTTTAAGACAAGTGACAGAAAGGGACTTTGAAAGCTATTGAGCTGCAAGGCGTAACGGCCTTATTTTTATGGATATAACTTACAAAATTAGATCAATAAAAATATCCAGGTCTAAAAGACCGGACAGACACATTAGTGTAGGATCTCATGGAACACGTTCTGAAGTTTAAATTTTTATATTTCACTGCACAAAGAGGATCAACCGAAAGAGAAGTATTATAGTGAATACCTTACTCGGTGATATTATAAGATATGGGCTAAAAGGCATCAACCAAATACTTGTAATATACTTGTATGTACGAACATTAAAACAGATGCTTCACGACCATAGAGTAGTTTATGGGGCGAACAGTACATAGCATACATTTTATAAAAGAAGTAGTTGGATGCCTCACAGCACCACAGTTTAAATGGGTTGACAAAAACAAAAAAATCTGTTTCTATGCTGAAATTTTCTTGATAACCAGGTAAACAGGACTTAACGAACTATTAACACACGCGTACACGTTTCTAGAATACAAAAAGTCATCAAAAATAAAACCAAGAAAGGAATCGCCACCAATGCATATCTGATTGAACATTTTAACTGCATCAACATTGAGTCTGCTCTATAGTTTACTAATTGTGATAGTTTCTACTACAAGATGCTTGTTTTTTTTTATCGAAAAGCACATCCAGTTGTATGCAACAATATTTAGACAACCGAAACTGTGAACCACATTATGATATCTTACTACGGAGAATCAGTCTTAATTAGCACAGCCAGATGCAAACGCGTAACATCTGAAGTTGCTAAATCATAATAGCATAGAATGATAGTGTTAACAAAGCCAATAGAGAAACTTAAATATGACTAGCAAATAAGACCAATGACCATATGTTCGATTTCGGAAAACGATGAACAGTATGTGGTTATATAAATATATATATCAGAAACATAAGGTATAGTAAATTGAAACCCCTTATATCTCTCATTACTAACCAATAAACAAGTAAGACTTTGTGCACTCCACCTTGAGTCACACTTTTCCGTACCAGTGATACTACTTAACTCTCCGAACCGAAGTAGGTGGAACGACGCTTAAACCCATGGTTAACATGTTTAACGTCGTGCTCTTTAATCACTGAACCTCTGTTTCACAAACTACACTGTTACAGTTGATGTAACTTGTTAAAATGAATAATGTAAACATAGATTCACCCTAAATCAACTTTATCAAAAATCAATTATTGTCTAATAACCAGAACATTTTGCATCTTGAGAGCCAAAACCGAAGTTAGGTTACAATGTGCTAATCTGAAGAACATAAAAGTAAACCTATCAATCTCAGCATTAACACATTTTAGACTTTGTGTTAAATATTTCTTTCTCTCCGAATTATAGAAACTATATACCAAAATGTATTTAGTACGTAAAAATATAAACGTATCGGGTAAATAACACTTGAAAAAGTGTGAAAAACCAATAAATTATTGATCGATATGATAAGATTGATACTTACATATGTAGGTAGTTGATGGAGTAACTCCAATGATCTTCTGTGTGCCAACAAAAACAGGAAAACGCCATACCAACATAGCACCAAGGAATCTGAATTAAAGATAAACTTTCAATTGAATTTATATACAAAACAATCTTACACAAAGACATTTACTCCAAGAATAAATCGGAATAGCACTTTCGTGAATATGACTAATATGACAATCTAACATGGAGTGTGAGTCAGTGATTCAAGATAGAGCTCCTAGACACTGAGTTATGATCTTGAACTTCAATTCGGTTACATTTTGGAAGAGAGAGTCAAGTAGCATTTTCGTTTATTATGCAAGTGGTAAAATAGTTTGGTAGACAAAAAATCAAGTATGTTCAGAACAGCGATGAGGTATATAAGAGTCAAGAATCTAACTTTGCCACTTTAAGACAATGTAAAAATAGGTCAAGCTCACCTTCAGACCAGTGAATTTACACTTAACACTGAATAACTTGAGGGCATAAAAACATATAAGGATTTTTTAAACCTCATATTAAGACTTAACATCTGTACATTAAACAATATTACTGCAGAATTTTGATTACCTGGTTGTTGCTTTGAGGTGAAGAACAAACATTCATAGTTACAACTCATTACTATCAATAACACAGAAACTCAAGAAACCCGTATTATATGTAAGACCGGGCTGGACGACTTATAAATAGGTTGACAGAAGTCGGAATACGAGACTGTAGTTTATGGTAGTGTGATATTGATAAGAATAGATAGATGATACTGATAGGAATAGAAGTAGCGTTTACATATTATCTCAATCCAACGGATCCGCACTTTACAATAGAAATAGTTATACATAAACAAACGTACTATTTTCTGTGACAATAAATGACGCGAATGACTGGCAAAACTAGGTCTTATTTATTGAGATAACTGGTCTACTAAGGTAGTCAGGTGTCAAAGCAAAAGCATACGTAACTAGTTAGATAAGTTACACTGTCTATCGATAACAAGTCGATAGATCTATTTAGACAAACTTCTTTGCTATGATTTCTGATTATGCATAATGAGTAAGTGCCACTCGTAACAAAAAAGAAATTCACAGAACATCGGCAACACAACGAAGGAAAATTCATTAATCAATGAGCACTTTTCTTTTGAATTTAGCTTCCAGTTTTTTCACGTAGCCTCACAGATGCTAAGAATACAATACGTACAGTTATAAAAACATTATCGCATCAGAATCGTGATATTTAACAATAAAATCCACAAAAGAAAACTAAACCAAGTCTTAGTGAAAAAATGAATGTGTTGACTGGAATGGAATAGATAATGGTGTCCAGAGGGTATGCACATATAACAGTCAGATGCTGAATGTCTCTTAGTTGTTTGATCGCTTGTTTTGAATTGTTGGTAATAAACTACATTATACAGCTAGACAGGAAGGAACGTACTTACATAAATATACATATACACACATTCAGGACTTACAATCATTCCCGAAATATTCCGAGGTAAAAATCTAAGAGCAGAACTATCTAACAGAGGAGTGTTATTCAAGTTCCAAGGCGAAGTAACATAATGTTTCAACTTTTGGCTGATTCTCCCTGGTCGGGAAGTTGGAAAGCCTGACCCATGTTCACGAGCGTTTAGGTCAGCCCCATACTCCACACTTACTGCAGTATCTTCGGAGCCAACAAGTCGCCAAAATTCTGCTTCAGCCTCTTCGAGTGAAACCATCTAAATCGCGGGGTAAGAGTGACCGAACGACTTACATGTGTTGGTTTTCCAAAGTGTTTTGCCTTGAAATCATCAGCTCGAATACCAAATGTATGAAGAGTATATTTTACACTTGAACTTTTAAATCCAAACACCTCAAGTCGATTTAACCGTTGATATCTTTTAATTATGCAAGAACGACAGTACCAGTTTCCCTTGGGAACATCAGACAACGGTGGATCGAGGCAGTATGTGTGACACGCTCCGAATGTTTCACAACCATCGCATAAGAGTAGATATTTGTCATCGTTACCAAGATTGCACACAGAACACACCATCTTGTTAACCTAAAAGCAGTAAGTCACTTAAATTTATGCATACCGGTGGTTTCTTTTTTGGCAACTGACTTGAACGTGAAAGCTCTGTATACTTATCATTATTCACCTACAGATGATAATATAAGCAAAGACAGGACATACCGATTCATCGGCCATAAAAATAGCATATGGCAGTAAATACCTTTTATAGTGCGAACATAGAGCAGATGCAAACGATGGCATTGCCGGCAAACTAAGTTCTTCACAAATTTTACACCAAAGCTTTTTCTCGCATACAGTCTGGTAGCCACCAGCATTCTTTACCTGTTTCCATAATCGATATATATCAATGCTTTTCCCTTTTATTTGTGGAACAAACAGCGTAACATCCTGAAAAAATTAATTTCGAAGCAAGTAACATTACCTGAGCCTCCCAAAAATTTATTAGCGAAGTAATGAAATGATATCTTACACGATTGTACGCACAGACATCAGACAACTCTTGGACTCTGGGAATAAATGTAAAGTTTTGTTGGTCGATGGAGAATGGTGGCTTCCAACCCTGGCGAAATTAATAAATTATAAGTGTGATAATATGCATACATTTGGAGGACGTATTTTACAAATTCCGTAATTAAATGCTATCGGGGAAATTCGGTGAACATAACTAATGGGATCAGTAAATTCTTCAGGTGTTGGGCTAAAAACAGGTGCGGGAGGTGGGCGGATGAAATCCAAAGACATGAGTGGAAAAAACTAGATTATTGAGACCTCAAACACTCATTTCCTAAGCTTTTTAAACAGCCGCTACCAATCATACGTTTCGACGACCTTCACATCTCTACAGGATACTCACTGCAGAAAGATCTCTTACGCCAAATCACCTCTGAGTACGCTGTGAAACGCATCTTCCCGCATCCCCTAGCAAGCTTAGATCACTCACTTGACATGCCAACCATCATTCAAATATTTCATCGTAGCTCTGCACTCCTGACTTATAGTTTGACTTTCGATGTATCTTTATAACTAACTAGCTAGTATAAATCAGGTTAGCTTACTGGGAAGTATGACTATCTTTCATAAAGATCTGTAGGATAAATACTGAGCAGTGCTTGAAATGAGCAAAACCCCGACCCAACTATGCCGTCTGTTCAAGAGACAAAACAACGCTGAAGGGAAAACCCCTCTCTTGATGTTATCTTTAGACTAGGCACAAGTTGCCATAGAAATCCTCGTAACTTCTCAGAGGCCCTGGCTTAAACTCTCCTCCCGATCCGGGCCAGAAACAACTAAACATATTCAGTACGAACAGCTACCATCATACCAAAATGCGCACAATGACGAACAATTATGGTGGTTCACTCAGTGCCTAAGCTGCTTAGTGTCGGACTGAATGAAGCTCACGAACATGGCGTGCGGCAGTGGCGGTGGCTATCACTTAGCATGACCCCTCATAAAACCATGTCAACCAGCGGCTCCCGACAACCTCGCCAACAACTTACGACCATTTAGTCTCCAAGTCTGGTGTCTGTGGACTCCAGAAATCAGGAATAACTAAATGAAGCGCTTCGGGCCTGGTACAGCATGAAGAAAGATCTCTCCAGCCACATTAAATGTTGCAAGAGCCGACCTAGGTCTGTGAGACAACAACAAGGAGGCCAAAATAGGGGTACAGCAACGACATTTGACCTTGATCAACAACCCATTTCACAAGATACACAGATCGTGGTCTCGCCGACTGAATACATTATACATTCAACAAAACCTTCTATGTTCGCACACAGAACTGACCAACTCATTTTGTTCGGTAATCCAAAAATGGTTGTTGCTACAGAGGTGCACAAGGTGATGAGAGAAACCATCAGTTGTCTCCATAAAAAAATGAGAGGACTGAGGGGTAAGCGGGAAAAGATCAGGATTATGTACTCGCAAATGGATCTGAAGATCATAATTCTGAATAAAATATATCAAGGCATGACAATCTTCTGATAGAATGAACTAGACGGGAGGCGGAGTGACTAATATATGTTAGCAGCCATTTTAAAGCTGTCAGAATACACGGCAACCTGCTAACTGACGGCAAATGCTCTTGTTGGTGTCGCCTCAACACAAATGGTAAAAAAAATTGTAGGTGGAGGGATTTTTCGGACCCCCCCCCCAAGTATTAAGGCCCAGAAAGGTAAATTGGCTGAGTCAGTGAAGCGATTGCGCCTCCTTGGGATTTGATCGAATACTCTTAGCTGTAGGTTTCAACACTCTCTAGTGTTATACTTTTACGAAGAGAACGCAATTGCTGAAATGGAAACATTTATTATTGTAAACGACTATAACTATTGCTGTTCTATTGCACACCGTTTTGTTTACTTGTACTGAAGACCATAACTCGTGCGCCAAGCGTGGTACTCCCATTCCGCATTTCTCCTCAGTGGTTGTTAGCAGCTTCCTTATTCCGGTCTTGATATCACGAGACCACGAATCAATACACCTTGTCATCCAGTCATAGTCTTCCTTCTGATTTCCGGATTTAACGGGATTTTATTTGGTAATCTCGCGACTAGTAGTTGCAGTCTCCTTACAATCGGTGAGCGACGACAAAGTACACGCATCAACTACCGTAAGTCTGTCATTTCTCTATCCACTTTTCTTACTATTTTAACTGTTGCACAATATATATCGATACTTTCTGATATCTATATATACATATATAATATCTGCAACAGCGTTTTATAATGGTGGTTAGACTTAAGAATGACGATGACGTTAAACCGAGACAACTGTAAGATTCAGATTGGATTCTGATTTCGGAAAAACAGTCTTAGAAGTTTAGTTACGCGCCTTGCCCAGTTAATCCAATAAGAAAGCAATTTATCTGGGTAACAAACTGTAAGTGAGAACATATTACAAATATATACATGGAGAGATTTTCTCAAAACAATGCCTTCAAAATGGATTCTACAGCAACTACATAGTCGCCTCCACGTCACACACAAATTTAGACCTCGATGCTAGTCACTTCCAGGCACGCGGAGATCGGGGTTGCTGCATTCATAGGTCTCACAAGTATCGAGACCGTTCTTTTATTTCAGAACCCCACATCTCCCGAGCCTGGTCTCGATCACAGAAGGCCGTAAGTACTCGCCACCAGTGGGCATCTTCCATGCCAAGCCAAAAGACGACTTCAGAAGCGAGTACCGATTGGGGCTGGTTATACCGGACTTTAAGGTTCGGCGCCCGTCATTGTCAAGCTCCCGTTCATACAGGGCGGAAAACCCCCGAGCAGGTAGGTAAACGAGGCCGTACTCGCTTGTCCCTCACCTCAGATTGGCCGCCTATTTTAGGTGCACGATATCCGCACTAACGCTAGGTACCTAGTTGACACAGTTGCCCAAGTTTCTGATGTACTCCTTAGTAGCTGCAAGTTTAAATCTATGACGATTCGATTGAGAATGGCTCTATCATTCCTACTTACGGTACACTACAGCTAACGGTCAACCTCAGTACCGTATTACAGGTGTATCTCATTAGCGTGATGACATTTCCCACGGTTTACTCGAAAACTTTTCTCAGCTAACTAAACCATTCGAGGAGAATCTGGAGGTGAATCATCGTATGATACACCGCAACGTCACCCGCGGACCACCAGTCACGACAAGACCTCGCTGAATGGCACCGGACAAATTAGCTTTCGCTAAACGTGAGTCTGACAGTTTACTAGCTACAGGTATTATTCGTCCTACTCACGGTCCTTAGGCCTCAACTCTCCACATGGTTCGCAAAAATGGTGGGATAAAATGGTGACCATATGGCGACTGCCGGGCATTAGACATAGTAACACGTTTCGATAGTTATCTCATCTCACGCACACGACATCACGGGATCACTCAAGGGCACGACTATTTATTCTACGACTGATCTGGTACGAGCATATAATCAGATCCCAGTCGCTCTTGAAGATATTGAGAAAAACTGCCATCACGACTCCTTTCGGTCTTTTTGAGTTCCTACGATTGCTATTTGGATTACGGGATGTTGCTCAAACTTTCCAAAGGTTTATCGATAGCATAGCACGAGACTGCTTTTGTTTACGTCTATATTGATATGCTATATGCATAATCAAATGTAGATGAACATTATCAACATCTTACGCTCTTATTCCAACGCCTTTCGGATAAGGGAATAGAGGTTAACCCATACAAGTGTGAACTGGGCAAGGCAGAAATAAGGTCTTTGGGTCACATCATTAAGAATGAGGGTATTCTACCTTGTGAAAACAAAGTACGTTCAGTCATGGAGCACACTGTACCGTCCTCGCTCAAGGAATTGTAGGATTTTCTCGGTTCGGTTAACTTCTACCGACGTTTTATTCCTCACGCGGTAGCAGAGTTACGACCACTAACCGACTTGCTTCGTGGTAAACCACGTAAATCAGAATTGAACGATGCCGCGAGTACTGCATTTTTAGAGATAAAAAAGCTTTGGCTGGAGTCACGCTTCTCGCCCATGCGGACCCATAAGCCACGCTTAGTTTAGCGGTTGATACATCAGACTACGCCATAGGAGCCGTTATGCAAAGGAACATCTCTGGAAGTTGGCAGCCTCTCCAATTTTCATCACGAAGCCTTAGTCCTACTGAGACGAGGTATAGCGCTTTCTGTCGCGAACTACTAGCAGCCAGCTGTGACATCAAACATTCCCGACACGCAGTAGAAGGTCGTAACTTTATCCTCTTCACCGACCACAAGCCTCTAACGTATGTTCTGCGTACCAGGTCTGACCTCTGCTCACCACGAGAATGCAGACATTTGGACTACAGCTCCCAGTTCACGACAGACCTTCGTCATATTAAAGGCGAGTCGAAATATGTTGCCGACTCTCTGTCACGGATCCAAGTGAATGCAGTTAATTTATCGGTACTTGAAATTCCTGCTATGGCCGCTGCCCACACAAATGATCCCTCCTGTACAGAGGCATAACAATCCACATCCATCTGTATTCTTTCACGAATAACCACCAAGGCAACAACAGATACGCGATAGGACACTATCTTCATACTACATGTATGCTACAACTTTCTCTTTTTCTTTCATTTAGTATCCTGAGGCCATGTCTACGACCATCACCCTCTTGGTACCGTCGACCTCAGTTAATCCCGGTGAAAGCTGGTCTGATCACCCACGCTCTATTCAATGCACTCAGTCGACGTTCTGGTTCCGAATGTATTTGGCATATGTTTGGTCTCGAACTTGGTCGTTTCTGGCACCCTCACTCAATCTGGTTCCGTCCTACGTCTGCAGCTGTTTCCGGTCCAAACTTCTACGAACGTAATCTTCAGACTCTGGATACGAGCCACACTGATGTGACACGCCAACAAACCTGGTACGTTATTACTAGTACAGTTCAACGTAGACGACTTTCGGTGACAACTTGAGCTTCATTGGTCCCTTCTGCCGTACAATCGCCCGTTAGGCAACAAGATCCTCCTCCGCAAGAAGCCCATAAGTATCTAAATTGTAAACCCCCTTCTAGGGGGCACGGTAGTGGTATACTTTAACGAAGAGAACGCAATTGCTGAAGTGGAAACATTTATTAATGTAAACGATTATAACTATTGCTGTTTCTATTCCTTCTGATCTCCGGATTTAACGGGATTTTACTTGGTAATCTCACGACTAGTAGTTGCAATCTCACTACATCTCCATCTCTAAATCTCACCAAACAGGGTACAAATTCCACTGGTCGGTTCC